AATTAAAAACATTTATAATCATCTTTGAAAAGAAAATTCTTAAAAATATGAAATTATATCTATGAATTACATTGGGTTAGGTTAGATCCAGTTAACCTATTCAACCATGATTTATTTTGGCGCCAAAAATGAGCTAACCTCCAACAAAAGATTAACGAGCAAATGAAACCTGAAACGAAGAGAAAGACGAGAAAATGAACCGTTTAGTCATTCCGGTGACCTAATCCACTAGTCTGACAGAAGGAGAAATGCTTTCGATTTTTATTTACCGCTAACGTAATCGCGGCTTTCTCTCTCTTTCTGTTTCTGTGCGTTACGCAATGCGAGTCGCCGCAGAAATTCGCGGAGCATGGAATAAATTGCACCCGACGACATCTTTCTTCTTGTTTTGTTCTCAGGCAGGAAGACGTAACGAGGAAAGTTATTCGCATGTTAACGAGTTAACTGCCAAGTTAATGAATTATTATAATTGCTTAACGGCAAAATTTAACGGCGATGTTGCTTTCGGAGGAACATGAGATGAACGTCGAGAAAATGTTTCGTGGAATCGATAAATGGTCGAACTTGGACTAAATAGCGGTTTGTTTACCTCGGCTGAATGAGACCGGGGAATCCATTGTCGAGTACAATGGTCACTTTCACTGGTTTCAAAACCGACAGGCGTCGATTCATGCACGGTACGTGAAATTACGTCCGCGGAGAATTTCAATGACTTTCCGTGCCTCAAATGTTATTCTCCCAACATTAAATATTATTTTATCAAGGTAAAGCAAATTTATCGTCTCAACAAGTATTTAATATTTGTCAGATAATTATAAAAATAACAAAACGACTAAAAATAATTAGCTTTGACTATCGTCCGTTTTCCCGCCAAATTTCGTTGAGGTTAGGTACAGTAAAATTGACTTTCCATGCCTCAAATATTATTCTCCCAACATTAGACATTATTTTATTAAAATAAAACAAGTTTGTCATCTCAACAAATATTTAATATTCGACAGATAATTATAAAAATAACAAAACGACTAAAAATAACTAGCTTTGTCTATCGTCCTTCGTTTTCCCGCCAAATTTCGTTGAGGTTAGGCACAGTAAAACTGACTTTCCATGCCTCAAATATTATTCTCCCAACATTAGACATTATTTTATTAAAATAAAACAAGTTTCTCATCTCAAAAAATATTTAATATTTAACAAATAATTATAAAAATACCAAAACGCAAGCTTTTACTATCGTTTCTACTTTTCCCGCCAAATTTCGTTGAGGTTAGGTACAATAAAACTTACCAGGTACAAAAAGTAAAAGTGTTTAAATATTTATATGACTACAAAATAAAATCCAATTGTCGGGTGTTTTAATTGAGCCAGGATTACCGTGAAGATCAGAAGATCGAAACCGAATCTGCTTACCTGGTCATAGAAACTTACTTCCGGCGTTCGTGTTTCCGGCACAATTAGTCACGGCAGCAGCGTGAATGATTAGAATCAATTTACCGTGAATTTGCAACGTAAAAATAAACGGAGAGGGAAAACGTGGGGTGTGCAGAAAACAAACGTGGGCTTGCTATTAAGATACTTTTCTTGCACAAACAATGCACTTGACTTTATATGTAGTTTACGAGCTATAACGAAGCGTCCATTTTGTTTTTGTTAGGCGTGACTATATGATATGTAGCATATTGGTTGTTTGTAGTCGTCATAGTTTTATAGTCACTATGGTCGTTGTAGTTGTTATGGTTATTATAGTCATTATGGTCTTATAGTCACTGTGGTCTTATAGTCATTGTGGTCTTATAGTCACTGTAGTCTTATAATCACTGTAGTCTTATAGTCATTGTGGTCTTGTAGTCACTATAGTCTTATAGTCAGTGTGGTCCTATAGTCGCTATAGTCTTATAGTCTTATAGCCATCATGACATTGTAGTCACTATAGTCATATAATTATTATAGTCTTATAGCCACTATGGTCTTATAGTAATTGTAGTCGTATAATCATTATAATGTCATAGTTGCTATAGTCATTACAGTCTTGTAGTCACTATAGTCTTATAGTCAGTGTGGTCCTGTGGTCTTATAGCCACTGTAGTCTTATAGCCATCATGACATTGTAGTCACTATAGTCATACAATTATTATAGTCTTATAGCCACTATGGTCTTATAGTAATTGTAGTCGTATAATCATTATAATGTCATAGTTGCTATAGTCATTACAGTCTTGTAGTCACTATAGTCTTATAGTCAGTGTGGTCCTGTGGTCTTATAGCCACTGTAGTCTTATAGCCATCATGACATTGTAGTTACTAAGCTCATATAGTTATTATAGTCTTATAGTCACTATGGTCTTATAGTAATTGTAATCATATAATCATTATAATCCCATAGTTGCTATAGTCATTACAGTCATGTAGTCAATATTGTTGTCATAGAAACTGTAGTCATATAGTCCTTATAGTCACTATGGTTCTGTAGCAATGATAGTCCTATAGCAACCATAGCCATTCTGGTCATATAGTCACTATAGTTGCTATAACCAGTGTAGTCACACAGTCCCTATAATTACTATGGTGCTATAGCAATTTTAGTCCTGTAGCAACCATAACCACTATAGTCCTATAGTCTAGCCACCGTAGTTATTATTCATAGTCACTATAGTTGCTATATTTATAATTTATTTATAGTCACTATAGTTACTATGTTCCTATAACAATTATAGTCTTGTAGCAACTATAGCCACTATAGTCCTATAGTCTAGCCACCGCAGTTATTATTAATAGTCACTATAGTTACTATATTCATAGTCATTTATATTTATAATTTATTTATAGTCATTATAGTTACTATGGTCCTACAACAATTATAGTCCTGTAGCAACTATAGCCACTATAGTCCTACATTCTAGCCACCGTAGTTATTATTAATAGTCACAATAGTTACTATATTTATAATTTATTTATAGTCATTATAGTTACTATGGTCCTACAACAATTACAGTCCTACAGCAACTACCTATAGAACTCAAAAATGTATTTCTGCCCCTCGAATGTCCGAGAACGACGCTAAATAACGAGTAAACACAATAAATCGGCCTGTCCGCCCTACGTCATGTCTACTTTCGCCACGGGTATACACCGTTTAGACGACTTTCATCCCGGACCAAAGCATTCCCCGGGTGACGGAAACAAGAAAGAGGAAAGCCAAACCGAGGAAGCAAAGAAAGGAAGAAAAAAGGCAACGATTCGGAAGAGAAGAGAGAGGTGTGGTGTAGGAAGCGGTACAGCATTGCCGGAGGGAAGGACGTCGAATCTAGGTTACGATCGTGTTCCTCTCCTTGTGGCTCCGGCGATATGTAGGCATGTCAGTGGTGCTCACCCTCTTGCAATTTACTGTCACTTTTATTATATATTTTACTTCAAGTAAAACTACTTCGAATTAATTTTAGGTGATTCTAAAGAAGCCATAGGTCAGATTTAACTAACATAATTTTAAACAGAAGTCAAACTCTTTTCAAGCTTCGACTCTAGCTAGGCTTAAGAAAATTTAAGGGGCATACATGAATAGTTAGGTTAGGTCAAATTCTTTGTCTGTAACCTTACTTAACATAACGTAACTGATAAGCATGAATAGTAAGGTTAGGTCAAACTCTTCGTCTCTAAGCTTCCTTAACATAACCTAACTGACATACATGAATAGTTAGGTTAAGTCAAACTCTTCGTCTGTAACCTTACTTATCCTAACATAACTAACACACATGAACAGTTAGGTTAGGTCAAACTCTTCGTCTCCAACCTTACTTAACCTAACATAACTGACACACATGAACAGTTAGGTTAGATCAGACTCATCGTCTCTAACCTTACTTATCCTAACATAACTGACACACATGAACAGTTAGGTTAGGTCAGACTCATCGTCTCTAACCTTACTTATCCTAACATAACTGACATACATGAATAGTTAGGTTAAGTCAAACTCTTCGTCTGTAACCTTACTTAACCTAACTTAATTGACACACATGAACAGTTAGGTTAGGTCAGACTCATCGTCTCTAACCTTACTTATCCTAACATAACTGACACACATGAACAGTTAGGTTAGGTCAGACTCTTCGTCTCCAACCTTACTTAACATAACCTAACCGACATACATGAATAGTAAGGTTAGGTCAAACTCTTCGTCTCTAACCTTACTTATCCTAACATAACTGACACACATGAACAGTTAGATTGAATGATGCATGTAAAATAATCTTGTTAATGCAAGCAGTTAACAAGATGGCGCTAAATACAAAATGGCGTCCCTTGTAGTTTCGCGAAATATTTTGAAACCCTGTCGCCCAATGGGCATCACTGGACCACAGGATCGCAGCAATGCTGGCGCCGCTGTTACACTCTCGCTTTCGAAATAATAATTATTTAATACCCCAAGCCACGGTGAAATGCGAGCGACACGATACCGGTTCTCGCCCATCGCGGGCCATCGCGTCCCTTTTCTCGTTGATCCCGAAGACCTGCTTTCGCAGAACCACTCGGTAACGAAAGCATTTTCGAAAATGCGATCCTCGGTCAATGGGTATTGAAACTGGATTTTACGTAACGGCATCTCCAGTACTTCGATAAACAACCAACGTGTAATCTCTAGCGGTTTTTACCAGTTTACCAAATTATGCAACTCTGTTGATCACCTTTCAATCGAGATTTAAACCAGTGGGAAATTATCGAGACTGCTGATCACGAGGAGCATTGTTCGAGATCTAATGAAGCTTCTAGACAAGTTTGAATAGTTTGAAAACAAAATTAGATTCGATTGGTTTGAATTTCCCGCCAAGTTACATTACATAGCGTGACGTTATCGGGACTGCCGAGCACAGGGCGCATTGTACGAGACCAAACGAAGATTCTAGACAATTTTGACATACAAAATAGTTTAAAAACAAAATTAGAGTTGCTTGATTTGAATTTCCCGCCAAGTTATATTACATAACGGGACGTTATCGGGACTGCTGAGCACAGGGCGCATTGTACGAGACCAAACAAAGATTCTAGACAATTTTGACATACAAAATAGTTTAAAAACAAAATTAGAGTTGCTTGATTTGAATTTCTCGCCAAGTTATATTACATAGCGGGAAGTTATCGGGACTACTGAGCGCAGGGCGCATTGTACGAGCCCAAACGAAGATTCTAGACAAGTTTAACATGTAGAATAGTTTAAAATCTAAATTAAATTTGCTTAATTTGAATTTCCCGCCAATTTACATAACCTAGTTAAAGGGTCAGAATTTTCGAAAGATCAAAGGTGCCTACTGTGTCCTACTGTTTGATACAGCTTTAAGAAATGTCCAGTGATGACCAAGAAGAATATAGAACCTCAGATCCTACTGGAAACTAGAGAAAGCGCAGATGCCAAAGAGAAAATCTAACCCGTCATCTTCCACGTTATAAAAATTAATTAAATAAAGAAGTTTCGTATGATTAATGATTAGTAAAACCTAGAAAGAAGATTAGTAATGATCAGTTAAAAATGTACAGTTTGGAAAGTAGCGAATAGGTTAAGTAATAACACAGGTGACACGAGGGTTCACAACTTTTATCGCGGATGATTTCCAGCGATTTGATATGCAGCTGCCGGCGAGAAATGCAGAAGAACAGGTTATCGTGCAACATTCCATGCGAACACCGACCTTATTTATCGTCCGCTACCGTGATACAGGTTCCCAAGCAACCGTTACTTTTTTCCCCTGAAATTCCTCTTTGTTCCGCATTTTTCGACCCGCTTGCGACGCGTCATTCGCGCGAGGCTAATAATGAAACCTCTCACGAACCGATAGAAAGTAACGATCCATCGTTGTAAACAATAATTTCCTTGTAATTTTCTAATGATAGCGATTCGAAAGTGCGTTTTCACATTATCCGGCAGTTGTTCGATTAAACGTTTCGTTGGGGTAGCAGTGACATCGCTGGACGTGGGAAACATATGCTACTTTCATATTTGAAGGCGAATCGAAGATACTAGTATCGAATAAAATGGCCTTGAATATATTCCGTGAATTAATAACACCTAACCAAGGCTAGGAACTGGTCGGCCATCACCCCTCCATGGAACTTGGATTCACTCGCTTTTTGCCAACATTTAGTTACAATTTGAGGTTCTTTCGAGTAACCAGGTCTTCTGGACTCAGTTAGGTTTGGTCTACCAGTTAGGTTAGGTCTGGTAGTCAGATTCGGTATATCAGTTAGGTTAGGTTGTTTTTTCTGTGATACGTGCATTGTGGTTCAAATGTTCAATTTAATTCCATGAAACTTTATTTACAGCTAGTTTATACTTCTACAGCCAAAAAGTGACACTTTGTCGGCACTTTTCATCTCTCGAAGATTGCGCGGGAAATTTAAATCGAGTGAATGTCATTTTATTTATTGGTCCTCTCTCTTTAGGATGTGTGTCTCCTTCAGTGTTGCATTCCTTTTTAAATGACTCTCATATTTATCTAATCTTTGTTTATACCGCGAACTACCTGTGATCAGTAAGTGTCTGCCTGATAATTTCCCGTTGGGTTACTGTGCATCATACTGGCAGTAAAAGATCCCTCTGAGAGTGCGAAAGGTGATCGACAGCCGTCTTGTAATATCTATGTAGTCACGACCAAACCTTAAAGCCCCTAAGCCCTCCAAAGCTCTCTAAATCCCGTGCCTCTAAATTCCCATATTCCTAAATTCCCATACTCCTAAATTCCCATACTCCTAAATTCCCATACTCCTAAATTCCCATACTCCTAAATTCCCATACTCCTAAATTCCCATACTCCTAAATTCCCATACTCCTAAATTCCCATACTCCTAAATTCCCATACTCCTAAATTCCCATACTCCTAAATTCCCATACTCCTAAATTCCCATACTCCTAAATTCCCATACTCCTAAATTCCCATACTCCTAAATTCCCATACTCCTAAATTCCCATACTCCTAAATTCCCATACTCCTAAATTCCCATACTCCTAAATTCCCATACTCCTAAATTCCCATACTCCTAAATTCCCATACTCCTAAATTCCCATACTCCTAAATTCCCATACTCCTAAATTCCCATACTCCTAAATTCCCATACTCCTAAATTCCCATACTCCTAAATTCCCATACTCCTAAATTCCCATACTCCTAAATTCCCATACTCCTAAGTTCCCATACCTCTAAATTCCCATACCCCTAATTTCCCATACCTCTAAATTCCCATACTCCTAAATTCCCATACTTCTAAGTTCCCATACCTCTAAATTCCCATACTCCTAAATTCCCGTAATCCTAAATTCCCATACTCCTAAATCCCCATATCTCTAAATTCCCATACCCCTAATTTCCCATACTCCTAAATTCCCATACCCCTAATTTCCCATACCCCTAAATTCCCATATCTCTAATTTCCCATACCCCTAAATTCCCATACCCCTAATTTCCCATACCCCTAAATCCCCATACCCCTAAATCCCCGTACCCCAAATTTTCCACGTCCCCAACTCGTAAACAGCGAATGCACAAAAACAAGTTTACATAACCGAATGTCAATTAATAGCAGGATGAGAAATGTCTGACACATGACGTCGCTTTCTACTTAAAAGTGCGATCACGCTCGTAATTATCAGCAATAATTGTTGCAGCGGAAAAAAGGGGACGAGAGAAAGAAGGCTTTCGTTTTTATTGCGATACCCTTTTGGTTTTGATAAACATTAACACCTCAATGTAAAAGAAAAAGAAAAAAAAGAAACATTTTAACGGTGGATATTTACGAGTTGCATACTACGCTTTATTATTACTGTTACGTTAGTAGTGCACGGCGAAAACTTGACAACTCGAATTTCTCCGTTCGCTTTCTTTATCACGTGATGCTGGGTGATCTAATCACTCGACGTGACCACTTCGGGCAGTAACCAGAATACGGCGTTTATCCCTAGACTAAATTGTATTACTCACGAACATAAGGATAGAGAGATCCATTCAGAGATATTCGTTACTTTATTTACTGTTAAATTAATTCAAGTGATGATTAGCAAGTGGCAAATATCTGCTAAGAAATCATTTATGTGAGGTCCTCATGTTTTTAGATACTGAAAAGTTTTAGATGCTGCAAGAGTTGGCATAGCATTATTAGAAATATTATGGATAAAATTCTTTAATGAGGTGAACTAGCACTTGTTTGTTCACGGCCATCTTGTTTATGTACGGCCATCTTGTTAATGCACGGCCATCTTGTTAATGCATCGCCATCTTGTTCATGTACGGCCATCTTGTTTATGTACGGCCATCTTGTTAATGCACGGCCATCTTGTTAATGCATCGCCATCTTGTTCATGTACGGCCATCTTGTTTATGTACGGCCATCTTGTTCATGCACGGCCATCTTGTTCATGCACGGCCATCTTGTTAATGCATCGCCATCTTGTTCATGTACGACCATCTTGTTTATGTACTACCATCTTATTCATTGATATTAGTATCAAATTGATGAAATCGAACATGAGGCTCAATGAAATTATGCAGAAATGACATTTTTACAAGTACAGCGCTCACCAATAGACTTCACCACAGCTAGTCAAATATTATTAAACAGTTTAATATTATTAAACTCATGTTATTTAATAAAGTCGAATTTTTGAAGATGCAAGCTTGAGACAGATACTAATGTAAACAAGATGGCCGTCATCAAACAAAATGGCCGTCATCAAACAAGATGGCTGTCAACAAACAAGATGGCCGTCATCAAACAAGATGGCTGTCAACAAACTAGATGGCTGTCATCAAACAAGATGGCCGTCAACAAACAAGATGGCCGTCAATAAACAAGATGGCTGTAAACGAACAAGTGCAAGTTGTACACAAGTTACAATATAAAAGTTACAATATACAAGTTACATTATAAAATTCTTTACAAAACAAGTAAAGAATTTTATCTAGAAGATTTCATGCGTTATAATTTTTGCAGAAACGATTGATTTCAGGATGAGGTGGAAGAAGCAAGGAGTCACCGAGGGCGAAGGAGCATCGATCCTGCTACTCGTCGCATTGGCTCCTGTTATCTGCTCCGCTGGAATCCTGGACCCTTGGCAGTGGGCACGTAGCGATCGTATCGAGGTCAACATTCCTTGGTTGCCATGTAATTACACTCCCAGATCATTATCTTTACAATTGACTTTACACTTGCTGCTCCGTCATCCATGAAGATGCAATTTCTATCCGGGAACTGGCATTTATTACGATCGCCATTTTTCTTCTTCTTCTAATGTCTCCATTTAATCTAATTATTCGAATGAGTGTTGAATAGTGGTCATAAAAGAGGTTTAGACTGTAACGTTGCTTATTTATTACTAGTTTGAGACCAATTTTAATAAACATAGTGTCTTTATTAATATTTGAGAGCATAAAAACTTCTCGTTGGTCGTGGATGGTTACACTAATATTTTATAGAAAAGAATTTGTAATTTTTTAAGATTCTATTGCTCCTCTTAAGGCATGACAGCAGTAAGAGTCATAATTCCAGATGCTCAAATATTAATGAATGAGAGTTTGCTTTACTAGTACCAAAAGTGGCAATATAACGAGAGTCTATATCAAGATGGGGAATCGCGGAGGGGTAGATCATCGTCAACTTATTATTCACTCCTCTTACATATCGATTTGCCATTCGGAACAATTTTATGACAATTCGACCGTCTATTAAATTATCAAATTATTTATTATATTGGCAGGTAGAATTATTGGTAGAGTTTTATCGACTGTCAGGTAATCATGCATCTGTAATTAGTTTTTGTGTTTATACTCGATAAATGAATATCTATAGCAGGGGGGCCAACCTGCGGCTCTTTGAAGGATTATTTGTGGCTCTCGATAAATGTACCCAAGTTCCCTTTTCATTTTTGTGCTATTATATTTTAAAAAATTATTATCGTTCCATATGTGTTTCAAAATATCGTTGAAATTACTGACGACAAATATGAAAGACTAAGTGCAACGTTGTAACAAATTTCATTTCCGTCCAAGTTAAGAATAATATGACTCATCGAAAACTGCGCCATCGAAAATTGCGGCTCGCGAAACATTTCAAACTTTGAAAAATGGCTTGGACTATCAAGGAACTTGGCCACCCCTGGTCTATATTAAACGTGTTGTAACAATGATTTTGATTATCAGTCGAAAACGAGACACGTTGCTACGACGAGCTAGGCTGTTTGAACATAACCAGGAGCTGGTACCACCTCATCCATAGGCCACTGAACGTCTTTCCTTTACCTCGAGAAGTCATCAATACAAGATTTATCTTGTACACGAAAGAGAACCCCACCGAAGTACGTATTCTCTAATACACTAAATAATAGTACACTATAATTATAATTCCACAATACGCAGGATACACTTTTCAATTCGAGTGAAAATGGTGAAAATTGCTTAAATTAACTTCGGTTAGAAACGTTGTTAGAAAATATTTGTTGGAAATAAATCATGCATTATTAATTTTAGTTTTATATAGAAATTGTAATTTAAGAAAACAGTTCTATAATTATTAATTATATTCTCTATATTAATAAAAACTAGTTTCTATCATTTCTATATTAATATATAGAATTCTATAGCTTCTATAGTTTCTGTATTAAACTTTATATTGTAACTGTTTAAGCTATAATTAAACCATATAACTGTTTTTGAAATTAAAAAGCGTATTCTAGAATGTGAGGTCGATAAACTTTGTGATTCAGTCTAGTAATTTATGAGCATGACAGTCGAGAATTTTAATCGATCGTAGTTGTTTCTTCCTGCCTCTCGATCCACGCGTCATAAATTCACGAAAATTATTGAATTGATTACATTAACTAGAGAGGACGTGTATGCAAAATTATTTCCTTGTACGTGATATCATTTTGAATATTTATGAAAGTCTTAAATGCTGAAACTTCTGAGAGAGTTTGTAAAAAGAACTTCGTGCTTTGGAATTATTTTATATCGTCTTATTTATTATTGCATAAAGAGAGTGGAATTTCTGTTTCAGGGTCAAGTGCTGACAGTCGCTAGAGACAAGTCCATTAAGCGATCGCACTTCAATGCAAAGAAGAAAACGAAATTTATCATACACGGTTTCATAGACACTCCGCTCAGCAATTGGGTCAAGGTAAAATTCTTCGAAAAAATTGCTTACCGATACACAATTTTTCACGACGTATTACCTTCAATAAATATTGCTTTAATTTCGAGCCACAAATCATTCTAAATTATTTTAAAAAATTAATTTTAATATCTTAGCATTTTGATGGTCGATAAAGTGAATAATTTGTTTGCGATGTAGTAAATAAGTTTAAGATGAACGTTGACGTAATAAGTGGCCATCAAAGCGTTAAGTACTTTACTATCTCTTTTTCATCTTGACCCAAGACATTTTTATTCAAATGTTCACCGTAGGAGATGAGGTACGAATTACTGAAACATGACGATTATAATGTCATCGTCGTCGACTGGGCCGGAGGTAGCCTGCCATTGTACACTCAGGCAACTGCCAATACGAGACTAGTGGGCCTTGAAATAGCTCATCTCATCAAACATTTAGAGGTAAAGCGAATTTCTGTGTTGAGGAGTTGTTTTACAAAATCCTAAAATAGATAATGAGCAGAGGCTTATGAAACTTGGTCATAAATTTTACTTCTGATATGCTTAAGTCTTTTAAATTTTGGGGAAAAGATAGAAAGAAATGTCCAGAAAGAAAATTGTAGCCAAGGGATGTAAATAATTGAAGATATCGTAGACTCTCGCTATATTGCCGCGGACGAAACCGTGTGAATAGACTTATAATATGTGGTCATAGACTGCGACAAAGTGCTATGTCCATCTAACAGTAAAGAATTGAAAGTATCGTACACTCTCGTTATATTGCCGCGAACAAAACTTATGCATTCATATATCTGTATATGAATATGTGGTCATAGAATGCGTCAAAATGTAATGTCCATCTGAGAAATGTCCAGAAAGAAAATTGTAGCCAAGGGATGTAAATAATTGAAGATATCGTAGACTCTCGCTATATTGCCGCGGACGAAACCGTGTGAATAGACTTATAATATGTGGTCATAGACTGCGACAAAGTGCTATGTCCATCTAACAGTAAAGAATCGAAAGTATCGTACACTCTCGTTATATTGCCGCGAACAAAATTTATGCGGTCATATATCTGTATATGAATATGTGGTCATAGAATGCGTCAAAATGCAATGTCCATCTAACAGTAAAGAACTGAAAGTATCGTACACTCTCGTTATATTGCCGCGAACAGGACTTATGCGATCATATATCTGTATATGAATATGTGGTCACAGAATGCGTCAAAATGCAATGTCCATCTAACAGTAAAGAATCGAAAGTATCGTACACTCTCGTTATATTGCCGCGAGCAAAACCTATGCGGTCATATATCTATTGTATAAATATGTAGTCATAGAATGCGTCAAAATGCAATGTTAACACTAAAAGATCAAAACTTGACCATCAATATAAATGCAATATAACGAGAGTTTATTTAATAAGCATAAAAAGTCATAAATGTAGAATTGGTTGGAACGCAGACAAATTACGGGCTGGATCCGAACGACGTACACCTGATTGGCCACAGCCTGGGTGCCCACACAGCGGGATACGCAGGTGAAAAATTAGGTGGAAATATAGGTCGTATAACGGGGTTGGATCCCGCGGAACCTTATTTCCAAGGAATGCCTAGTCACCTAAGACTCGATTACACGGATGCTAAACTGGTCGATGTTATTCACACCGATGGCAAAAGCATCTTTCTTTTAGGTAAGGCATCACTGTGATACTAAATTTCAAACTTTAATATTCAACGAGTCTCTTTACTCCATTTTCCTTAACAAAATCATTATAAATGTTACTCATTATAATCATTATCAATGTTACTTGTTATAATCATTATAAATGTTACTCATTATAATCATTACCAATATTACTTGTTATAATCATTATAAATGTTACTCGTCAAAATCATTATAAATGTTACTCGTCATAATCATTATAAATGTTACGCGTCATAATCATTATAAATGTTACTCATTATAATCATTATAAATGTTACTCGTCACAATCATTATAAATGTTACTCGTCATAATCATTATAAATGTTACCCAGTTCATGTTTTAATCCTCTATAAATCTAATTATAAAGAAGGAAATCCATCATTCCAAGCCTTCAGAGAAACCTTCAGAAACACTAAAGATGAGTATTTCATATTTCCCCGTAACACCACAGAGTCATGGACCTATACTCGTTAATACATTAATGTTCTTACAGTGCGATGGCACAGTGCTGTGGGACCGCAGGGCGGTACTTCCCACATCTGCCACCAGATGGACCATCCACCATACTTTCTCGCAAGTCCTCATCTAACTATCCGTCCACTCATAACCTTATCCTCGAATTTTAGAGTTCGACTGCTTTACATCGTTAAAGCAGAGCCCATTCTTATCTCTGTCTCCTATCGCATGAGAATTAACTACCCTTCATGACTCTAGTTACCCAAAATCATGAACATCCCACATATGTAAACATCCCAAATATGCGAACATCCCAAACCGTGTTATCAAATGAAGTAACGTGTTAACAAAGTTTGCAAACCTTTCGTTTGCTTCCATAAACCTTTTTGTTGCAAACTAACTTATTACCCGATAAGGACTTCCAGGATACGGGATGAGTCAGCCGTGCGGTCACCTGGACTTCTACCCGAACAACGGCAAAGAGCAGCCAGGCTGCACGGATCTGAGCGAAACGACCCCGTCCTTACCGCTGACGCTTATAAAAGAGGGCTTGGAGGAGGCTTCACGAGTGCTGGTGGCCTGCAATCACGTGCGTGCCATAAAACTGTTCATCGAGAGCATCAACTCGAAGTGCCAATACGTGGCACACGAGTGCTCTAGCTACGCAAGCTTCCTGAAGGGCGAGTGCTTCTCCTGCAAGAGCAACAACAGCCTCAGCTGTGGTGTCATGGGCTACCATGCGGACACCAGCCCTGCTTTGGTCAGGCGACAGGCTATGGGTCAGGATGTTCTGTCGCTTCTGGGGTCTAAATTCTTCTTCTCTACTGGCAAGGACGACCCTTATTGCAGTGAGTAATAGGGTTAAATGTGGATGAGGCATCAACATTATGTCTATGTCTCATGGAGCGAGACTTCAATGAGATCATGTGATGTTTTAAGAATTTTGGACAATATTCATTTTAAGGTTTTTATTAAAAATTATTTATTTAAAGAGTATTATTAATTTTAGGGAGGCATTACAGAATTACCATCAACCTTGCACGCCCACCAACTGCAGAGAGCTGGGTGCAAGGCTTCATGAAGGTCACCCTGTACGCTGAGAATGGCATAATGAGGGACGTTGACCTTACTCCTAGGTAAATTTCATCCAGCATTTCTTAAACTGAGATTAAGCTAAAGAAACATAAGGAAAAATATCAAAATCCCACCCACAATATATTTATAAAGAAATGAGTTTATATCAGAAGTTACATATATCAAACCATCAGTCATACATATAAGTTGTCTTCCAAAACATTTTAAATTAAAATATCTTAATTATTGAATTTAAAATTTCACACATTTACTTCACTATATCACACCAAGAATATAATTACATTAATAATTTACAAAAACATAAAATTATAATTCTAACATTTATTTTTGTTAAATCATTAAACGACTGAAGTTTAAAATGTTGCTTCATATTTGAAAGTGGCAGCATGTTCTTGTGCTGGAGAAAGAGTAAAACTTCTATTAACCCATATCGAAGGAATATGCAACTTTCGAAAAGATAAATTTTACTGCTTCTTTCACCCGCAACTGCAGTGGATACATGAAACTGGAACACGGTTCGACGGTGCGAATGGTAGTCGCACATCCTGCCGGGGCATTTGGTGAAATTGGAAAAATCAAACGAGTCGAACTTTCATGGGTTTACGATATGGACGTGCTACAACCGCGATCGTTGTGTTTCTTTTGGTGCAACGATCGCCTTTACGTGAACAGCGTCACTGTAGATGTTATGGAACTTCCTGGCAGAGGGTAAGTTAATTGATACACTTCATTGATTCCTATATTCATTTTCCTTATAAGATCTTCAAGTTAGAAAGTCAACTTAATACTTTTAAAAAGAATTAAAGTTTAAAACATTAATTAGACATTAAACATTAAAGTTAAAGTTAACACTGTTTTATGTACAGAAATACATATTTTATTTGTTAACGTACCATTGATTCTCCAAAAAGTTACATACGTTTCAAATACAAAGTTTACAAAGTACTATATTACTTAATATTAGGTTTTATTTGATAGTTTACAAAATACGTAGAAAAGTATTCAGTCATTTATGAATATAATTACTTACCCTTGTGCACAGAAAAAGAGAAGCAGACTTCACTAGTAAACTTTGCTCAGCCAGCAGGCAGGAATACGCAGAAATTGCTAGTGGATCCACAGCAGCTTTCGTAGACAACTGCTGACATTTTCTTCAATATAATTGGAGCGTTACTGATTACGCTGTGATCAGCCTGAGGTTTGTGATAGTGTTCCTGTGAAAAATATGACAATTAAAATAGAACTTACTTTCTCATCATTAATAGTAACTTATAAGTAATGGAAGTCGTAATAAGTTTGTTGATACATTACATACATGTTCATAAATCATTTTTATAAAAAAAAAACACATTGTATTTTGGTAATAGTTTATTTAAAAAAAAAAAAGAAAAAACATTTATACAACATAAACGTTTGCTAATTTCAAAGAACAAAATGCACAAATTACAGGTAAAAAAAATCATAAACTGCAATACTTATCTTTTAAAAGCAAAATATCGATGGAATTGTTTTCACGTATCACAAAAAACTGTTTGTACAAAAATGATATAAAAAAAAAAGTGTTTACAAAGAAATTTTTCTTACAAAAAGTCGCAAACAATCACTGCTTCGAAAGGAATATACACTTTTTTCCTGTAAAGTGCATTGAAAAATATTGTTAGTCAAGTTGCTTTGAAAATATGTAATGTATGAAATCAGTGCGTACTTGTAGCAGTATTAATGCGATTATTTTGTACATCTTGTATATATATATATATCTATAAAATTGGATAGTGTAACTAGTTAATGCTAGTGTTAGTACAAAGCAGGTATTTTTGCGAGTGATCATCGACGGTTTCTGGTAGAAATTGTTAACGCAAAAACTTTTGGTTCAATTGTGAACTGTGTGTATACTACGTCCATCTTTTATACAATATTTACATTACAATTACTAAGTCCACTGTGACATGATATAGCGAGAATCGTTTGTGATATTTTTTTTTTCTCTTCTTTATAATTTAAATAATTACGTTTAACACATACTTTACTGGTAACTTTCGATTATTAGTAATTGTACAAACCGAGGATAAGTGGGCAACTATAAATGTTACGAACATATCTCGTACTGTGTACCGTTAATGTTTCTAACATTAGAAACAAGTTTTTATAAATATCTCCATGTAAAATATAAACTTGTTATGCCATACAAAGACAAACGTGTTGTGTGATTAACAATTGCTCGAATCAGTGATGGACAATTGTACCAGCAAGGGCATAGTCTACCATCACTGATTTATACCACTTTCGAAAATATGTAATCTCTAACATTTATCTCGAAGGTATGTTTTCAAAGGCTGCAGGAAAAGAAACACACTTGTACAGCTTGCTAATCTTTTGCAATGTTTACTCCTCGATAAACCTTATACACGTCAATTCGTCGCTTATACAAAAAGATGATCGCGGAGTGCAGCTATACACGGTAACACATGATCCTTTTTTTTATCTTACACGAGATTCAACAATGACCGAGTAAAAAAGCCGTCCGCGTTTAGTCAACGCGGTAACAAGGGTTGGTAAAATATATAATATGAATATATAGCGATGTACATAATATAATCTAATAATCTCTATCTTCATAACATATAATCTGCGTATAAATAATAAATAGAAAACGAGGAGTGAGACTGGTTGATTAGCTTTGTTAAAGACTTCAGCACTAAAGTTACCGTTACGAACATTCACTGGTCTATGGGGAACTTCGTGATAATAATAAAATATATATATATAAAAGAAAGGTGAAAGATAATAGAGAACAGTGAAATAACTAACAATACAGTAATTCTTCTCACAGTGCAACGCGGACATGAACGAAAACTGGCGCCTCTTCTTTGCCTGCGGCGGCATTAAGTAAAAAAAGGAAGAGAGACATTTAAATGCTGCCAATGTTACAGTGTTTATGAAGCAATATAAAAATTGAATCTGTGTCTCACGGTTCCCAAGTCAATTTGGAGCAACCCAAATTATATTGTGATTCATTTTAATGGGAAAAACCTGACAAACATAAAAAAGTTTACAGTAAAAAAAATTATATTGCTATTAAAAACTGGATCTGTTGGCACCAAAATAACCGCGCTGAGTATAATGTTTTTTGAACGGTTCGAGACTAACATAGGCGCAGGAAGAGACGTCTTTCACTGTGGGAAGGAAACTAGAGCTGCACTGTGAGAAGAATTACTGTACATGTGAATATACAGCTGATTCATTTGGCATAGTAGTCTAGAGCGTTCTTTCTTCTAGCGCGCAATAGAATGGTCAGTGAAGATCATCGACCCAAGCGGTTTCTAATGACTCGATAAGAGTACGAACGAAAGCCATTTCTTTTCGTGCATTATCCAAGATCACGCGGGGATCTTGCGAGGTACACCGTAATATATTTGGTGCCATCACCATTGCTAAATTGTTCGCGTCCATTTTAGTACGGGCGACCACTTCCGGTCTAGCAAATATCTGAAACAAATATTTTATACCCCTCAATAAACGTGATAAATGAAAATGTATACATTAAAATTCTAGATCATTTTTCTTTTTCAACTCAAGATAACCTATATCATTGAATAGAATCATTTACATGTTCCCGAGTTCTTAAATCTTTATATCCCTAGATTCCTAAATCTCAAGATCCCTAAACTCGCTGAATTCCTGAAGTCTGTAAATTCTGATGTCTTTAGTTGATTATTTGAAGCACAAAACTTTTGCAAAAGCTTTAATGTTAAATTTTTTGTAGTGCACAGCTTCTGGGGAGTCCCTTCAGAAATATGAATATACGAGTACCAACCTTGTATTTTTATAAAAGTCCGCCAAAAACTGTACAATACCAAATATTTTTTTTTAGAAAAAAAAAATGCATGGTTAAATTTATATGAACTTGTGAATAACAAAAAACATTTACCTGAAGAAAACGTATTAGATGACACAGAACTCGCCGATTTAAATCAGGCAGTCGATCTACAAGCGCGGCAACATTAACTGCAGAAGCTTCAACGTCGTCGTGCCTCATCGATACGCACTCCGTATAAAAGGAATCAGGTATTAACGGTTCATAAAGCTCTCGAACCCATAATTTCAATAAAGAAGCAGGTGCATGAGCGTCTTGTGAAGCTACCAAACTTGTACAATCCTCGAACCTATCTAAGTACGACTTTAAAGCACTAACTTCATCCGCGTCCGCGGATACCCTAAAAATACCCTCAGTCAGGATACCACCTCGCGCCAACACTTGACGGGTCAACGTAGTTTGTATCCATGGTAACTCTCGGTTAGGAAATCTGTCTCTTTGCAGAGCCATCACTTCGGGAAGCGTAGCTCCGAACATGGATGCTCGGAAAATTTGTATCTGTGAATAAAACAGACGACAGTGATGAAATGAAAGAAAGTAAAAGAATAAAGTCACTCTAATAAAATGAAGAACGTACCCTTGCTTGATCGATATCTTCTATGGTAGCCTTGCGAGGTTGCCGTTTGCCATGAGCTCCAATTCGTTGTAAACGACGACAGGCTACAGTTGCATAATGACTAACTTGTACGTGAATCGGCCATTTGGCCACTTCGGAGAATTGAAAATTGGAATCACGATGCCTGTTCATGTAGCCTTCGAGGTAAGGCTCGAAAGTAGCACTGGGCGGCACGAAAGCCAAACATACAGCCATCAATTCCCAGCCTCTACGCAAACTTTCTTTCCTTGGATTCTCTGTAGTCTGTCTACAAATCTGAACATACAATTCATCCCGCAATGGAGGCTTTGAAAATGCAGTATTCACAATGTCCATAGCTACACTGTCTAAAGTCATTCCTACGTTAGCTTTCCGATCACCCATGTACACTTGCACCAACCTAAACAAATTACAGGCCTCCCGTTTCAGTAACTTTTCACCGTCTACTACCACTAGCATCGGCTGCGGTATCGGATCTTTAGACCAGCTAAGAATGTCTCGGACGCTGAACTTCTTCCGGAACAACAATCTCAGCCCTTTCGGCCTTCCGCAATTCAAGTTGAGATTGTCTTGTGCGTATTTCTCTATATCACCGCCACCCGCGCTGTCGTCTCGTCTTGCTTCGTCAGTGTCGGTGTTATCAACGCCGGTACCAACACTAGGAACAGAACTTATAGTAGTGGGTGCTGGAAGTGGCGGTTGTCTCGCAGTTGTCACGCTCTCTCGTATTTCCGCTTGCGAAGCGATAATTGGTGGCGATGGCGGTCGTACTTGCGGCCTTGTCAGCGTGTCCGCGGTGTTGTAATATGTAGCTAATCCTGTGGTATCGTAGTTACCTAAATCTGCGATAACAACGTGAATGTTATATCAACGCGTGATAGTGCATACCCAGTTACGAGTAGTTATACAACTGCAGAATGAGTCGTTCAATTTTTTAGGTTATTCTGAATACCTGCGTAATGATCTTCAAGGTACTCTTGACTAGAAGAGTCACCTTGATTACTCGCTGCTTCATCGTCTGCAAACTGATCGTCCGAATCATCGTCGGCCCTACCACCAATTCCTTCGCCCCTACCACCTTCTTCGTCTAAGGAATCGTCACCTTCCTCTACTAACAAAGGGTCTCCGAACTTGTAACAACCTGAAAATTTAGAAAAGGATCTCCTTAATATTACAGGGAGTCTTACAAACTTAGAAAGCCTTAAAAAATATTAGCAATATACCTGAGAGTTTTGCTTGTTGAATAATATAATGCTGAAGTGGCAACAAGTGATCAGGGTCAGATAACAGATTTCCATAAAACGGAGACGGAGGCGGACTCGGATTACCATTACTTCTCTTCTTTTTACTGTCATCCCCTTCCGTAAGTCCTTCCGTTTCCTCGCCTACGGCGCTATTACTACTACTGTTACTGCCATTGCTACTGCTAGTATTACTGCTAAGCCTTTGTCTAGGTTGCTCATGACTTTGACTTATCAGATAACGTTCGTGCATGGAATCATCATCCCTGTCCCTTCTTCTTGATTGCTGCTGTTGTTGATGAAGTTGCTGTAACTTCTGCTGTTGCTTTTGTTGCTGAACGAAACTGTAACTGCGAGCCAGTGGCTGTGACACACCTTAACAAGAAAGGTACAATGTAATTAAAAGCAGAGAGATTAATTATTTGTTTTAATAATTAAGAATTTACTTACAATCCAACGAATTATTGCACGCAGTATTTCTCCTGTATTCTTTCTCTCTATCACGTTCTCGTTCGCGTTCTCGTTCACGTTCTCGTTCGCGTTCGCGTTCACGTTCACGTTCTCGTTCTCGTTCGCGTTCACGTTCGCGTTCACGTTCACGTTCTCGCTCGCGTTCACGTTCACGTTCACGTTCTCTTTCACGTTCTACAACATCAATACTTCTTTGCTTCGATGCATTACTTAGGACTCCCCTTCCTCTTGCAAGGCTTTTAGACGGTTCGTTTCTTTCGGCCAACATTGCACCGTACATATCTCTAACATTTGCTTCTGAAAGTGATACTGAGCATCCATGATGCCTCCTTCCTATACTACCAGTATTATCCTGCTTATTCATATTACGTGGATGCATGGAACTTGGATAAAAGGCTGAAGTGTTTGTTTTGTCCAAACTATTTACTCTTTCCCTATGATGAATCTCCCTTTCTCTATCTCTATGATAACGATTACTACTTTCCACCAACGAGCCATACTTTTCACCCTGTGATTTATAACTATGACTCAACTGAACTTCTGGCGGACGGTACGGAGGCATTTCTTGTCTAAATATTCTAGATTCCATCAACGAATCACGATATGGCGAAGTGCTAGGTTCAGGACCATAAGAACCTCTACTGCTTTCTCTACCTACGATAATAATATCAAAAAATTCAGCTAACATCTTGAAAACTTATTCGATACAAAAATAAGAATACGGGGAAACTTAAGTTTATACGAAATTTAACTCACATTCTTACCATTTTTATTCTTTTCCAACTCTAAGTTTCCTGTCCTACTTTCACGTTGCGTGTCAATAAACGTTTTCTTCTTAAAAAGAGGGGTACTAGTCGAGAGCGACAAACCTAAAGGTGGTGGTTCGCCCAACGGTACCGATTTCTGATTTTTCACACTTTCCAAAGTTCCACTTTTGTGCCCCCTAGCTTCTAAGGTACCACTGTGTTGTCTGGGCGAAGACTGTGCTTGACTCGGTACCTGGGCAGCAGGTCGATGATGATGTCGGTGGGGAGAGTCTAATAACCGATATCCAGTTGATTCCAAGGACGTTCGGCTATGAGAAACAGAACTGTCACTAGAACGTCCTGAATCCTGGGAATGATTGTGCTGACGTCGTGCTGTAGGCACTTCATGATGCCTATGATGCCTGTTATTATGATGATGGTGATGATGGTGATGTCGTCTTGAAGATGGAGATGGTGATGGAGGAGATGTCTGGAGATCCACACCACCACTGGATGTTCTTGTTTTATTTACACTACCACTTTGCTACAACAAAAACTCTGTTATCATGTTTGTCCTCCAATAAATATCACATCTTTAAAGTAGGTCACTTACCAACGAAGAAGATAAATTGGAACTTTCTTGATGATTAAATCTTGTTAACCGACTAACAGAAGGAGTTTGTGTCTGTGTTGATACAGATTCTTTTTTTCTTGGCTCGGCTGACTTTTGTGTATCTACTCCACTACTACTTGCTGGCTCTGTGTTTTGTTTCAGTGTCTACAATACATACAATATAAAAAGATTTTTACCTTTAATATGAATGATATTAAAACAGCTATGCTTATAATGTGACAATTTTAACAAAAAGAAATTTTATATGAAGCAAGATAAATGTAAATACTGTTGTTATCATACATAAAAATAAAACATTCGTAATCATGCAAACCTACTATATATATATCACAATTCTTAAGTAATTTTCATGCTTCTGCTATGGTATAATGTAAACCAGAGTTTTTTCTCCTAGCTACAAACGTCTATTTATAGCCATAAGGAGAGCAGACAGCTTGCACACTTATATCTCCAACATTCTATAGAGTGGCTATATTAATGTGATGATAGTGCAGAAAAATTTGCAAATTATTATGTTGTGTTTGTATGTATAATTGAAGAAATCACTTTAATAAGTGAAACATTCTGTTGAGTAAATAAGCATGTATAAGAGATTTCATAATTATCTGAAATTTCAAATACTTATATGACCCACCCATCTTTAATGCTATATCATAAATACTTTTAATGTGATATACTTGCCCTACCAAATCTTTTATCAGATTAAATGAGTCACTCACCTGAAGCTTTGCTAAAGGTATGATGTCACAATCGCTTGGACGGTGCCATACAGTTTTTTGGGATGTCGCGTTATAATAGTAAAACCGTGAAGTATTTTGATCGAATAATTCCCACCATTGATTGTTATCTGTTTTCTTCCTATAATTATAAACAACACAGTGAATTATATGCCTAAGCACATATCATTACAAAAGCTTTTAAGTTAACAGAAAAATTGAAATAATAAAAAACTTTTAATAAGAAAGAGAAAATATAACATATTTAAATTCGAAACATGTGCTGAAATAGAAATCTTGCTAATTATTAATGCTTCCTATGCCATGAAATGAAAACCTTATACGTTGATAACTTTCACCACACTAATTAGATCAGAAAGACAACCTAATTCTATATAAGTAATTATCCCTCTTTATGTGAAAGTTCACTTTATATTATTTAATTTGAAATAAAGAAATATATCTTACACTGGTACACCAGGTGGAGGATCCCACACGCATTCTCCAGTCGTAAGATTAGCATACATGTGCTCCTTGGTACGTGGTTCTATAATTTCCACCCATTCCATTCTACTGTAATGATATATATTTTGTTAAGAAAATATATAATTAATAATACGTGTTAGAATATGAGGAATTGTAACAGAACTAATTAGGTTTATTCATATCAAGATTATTATGCCTGATGACTTTTGACAATTTTAACAGAAACACTAAAAGCATTCAATACATTTTAAGTAGAATAGTTTTATTATCTATTGGTACTTTGAACAAAAATTTCCATCAATGTTTGCTTGAAAATAGAAACCAGATAAAACATCAATAACAACGTTAAAATTAACTGCCAAGGAATAACGATATTTAAATTTAATAAAGTACCCTGTATATACGTATTTAATCGTTAAAGCATGTAGGGTGCATATATGATAAATTTGTTGCTCCTTTATATTACTATAATTAAAAATTCTAAAAATACTATGGTGAAATGAATAAAATGTTCCTGGTAGCAAAATGTTTAACACAGGACTTAAAATAACAAATAATTTGAAACTGAGGATGACAACAGGTTCGATTTCTGTAAAAAAAGATACGAAAACGAATCGACTATAAGTTATAAATAATTAATCAATAGCATTCTGCCAAATCCGCGACGAAAGCGCTTTATCGAAATTGTTGAAATTTCGATGGTACATTGTAAAACTGAAAACGAAGCGAAATCATTGCAAGAAAAACATTACAGAGAGGCAAGAGGAAGAACATTGAACGAAATTTCGTCATAATAAAGGGTGTTCGCCCCCGCCCCCATATAACCATAAATTGATAGGAATGCTGGCTGCAATACGAGCAACTGTCTGATGTCATGCTATCCGTTTAATTGACTGAAATAGGCAGTGGAAATCCATTCGTGCATAGTTGTATACAACGGGGGAGAAAAAAACGAAAGTAATGAACGACAAGAGAGGAAAAGGAGGGACATGACTTCGATAATGTACACCAAGTGTAAATAAGAACAGAATTTCAGCAAACAAGACCCACCCAGTTTAAACGATAAGCAGTGAAAATAAGAGAAACATAATAGTATTTGTGGAAATATGACGAGCCTCTCTCCCGAGAAAACTGGGACGGGTCACTGGGAAAAAATTCACTATCGATCCGCGAAACATAGCCACTATACACTGTGCCGTATTTCCTATTTCCCTAGAATCGACGAATTTCGCTCTTACCCGTCGGATGCCATCGTAGAGAATTAATCCGTAATACGAATGGAACAAAAACACTTCACGTCACTTGGTGAACACTTTGTGACACTTGACGAGCACGACGGTGACACTTGGTTGTCGCCAACGTCCCATTTTCACGAGCACGAGCGACGCAGCCTCTTCATGGCAGCCTACCGGCAGCCATCTTTTTTTCTTCTGTTCGTTTTATCGTACTACCACTACAGAGAACGAAAATTTACTTTATCCTAGATTTCGAGTACTATATCGATACACTCCGTTCGAAGAGAGATCATACTCGATCCGCGCAACGCCGATAACTTCAGTAAACCCCTACCAAGCGGGGATGCCCCACTATGGTGCGCTCTGTAATTCTATCGAACATATACACCGTGAACAAAATATGGGAATAGGGAAGAAAAGCGATGTAGGAAAGGACCGTATCTGTCCACAAATTATAAGATCACTAAGTATATACGTTTAACATCAGAAAAGTCCCAAACGCGAATGCGTGTTGCTCTTGGTTACAAAGCACACTTGAACCAATCAGAGATAACATGCGTAGAATGAATAAAAATTTGTCAAACGATGAGTATGATCTCTCGTTGAGTGAATGATATGTACATGTTTATTTATATGCATATGCACTTGCATACTCACTTGTGTATTGTTCCCTCGTTGGTAAGTTTTTTCGATGTGTATCATAACCGAATTTGACAAATAAATGTTCGATGCGTTCTAAATTTGTTTTGGGGTTACGATCATCTTTCGAAATTAAAACTGAAGCGAGTATTGATTGATTTTTCGGATAGTCTGTTTCATGTAAAATATATTCTTCAGTACTGACTGTATGAATTCATTATGTTTAATAGCTGACAACTTTGATTAGTGTTTTCTTGGTATATAACGCATATATTGAAGCTTTGAGGTTAGGAATATTGATGATCGGATCTCCTGGAAATTGCATTTGAAATAAATTCTTAAAATTTAATTTGAACATGCAATACGATTTTGTTGTGGCTAATAATATATTTCGCATAAATATGCAAATTATAGAAGTAATTAGTTATCTGATAAATGACTACTTATACTCCTAGATGAATAGTTCTATTTCGTTTCTTGATATTAAAGTTATTAATATTTATCGCAATTATTATACTAAAATTTGTATATCGCTTATCTTTCTTCCCCTTTAAATAACAGTAAATACAAATTTAATTGTATATAATTACTAAAAACAAATGGAAGCGACATCTGTACGATTTTATGATAACTACTAATTGTTTTGACATTTTTATCTTATTGCTTAGGTCACTCGTAGAATAATACTATTGTATTATAATTTACGTTTCAGGGATTATAAAAAGTATGAGATCATTCGTTAGACTTGAATGACGTTTTACTTTGGTAAGAGTTATAAAATCATTTATTTAAAATTTAACTAAATAATAGCAATAACGTTTTGTAACCTTTTCATGAATAAATACTTTCTACTATTTTACATATAAAATTTGTAAAATTTCTTTTAACTTTTGTCTCTCAAATTATTCTATACTGTTACAAAGATTTATGTTTAAATTTTAGTTGCAATAGTAACATAAAGTGACTGTTAGAAATTACACAATACACACAGTGAATCCTATAATAATATAACAAAAAATGGATATGGATCAGGACGTATTAACAGTGCTGAAGCTGTTAATGATAGGAGAATCTAATGTTGGAAAATCGAGGTATCTATCATAATTATTAAAATATGCATTTAAAGCATAATACCAATTTGTTTATTTATATTATAATCTTTGTTATCAGCATTATTCTCAGATTCACGGAAGATGAATTCTATGAAAACATGCAGAGTACAGTGGGTATGGACTACAAAACTAAGCAAATTACAATTGATGGCAATATGGTAAAATTAGCAATTTGGGTTAGTTACTTTATTTCATTAGTGATATGGAAATTTTATTTACACGATGCAAGTATATCATAAATTTCTTATAGGACACTGCTGGCCAAGAACGTTTTCGTACCCTAACACCTAGTTATTATAGAGATGGTCAAGGTGCTATATTAGTATATGATGTTACAGATAGGGTAACATTTGTGAAGTTAGAAACATGGCTTAATGAATTGAATACATATTGCAATAAAACAGATATTGTTAAAATGGTAGTAGGTAACAAAATAGACTTACCGAATAGAGAAGTAAGTACAGAGGAGGGCCTGCAATTTGCAAGAAGACATCAAACTCTGTATATTGAGAGTAGTGCCAAAACAGCAGATGGAATTAAATGTTGTTTTGAAGAGCTTGTACAAAAGGTATAACTATCTTATTGGTTTCTTTGAAATTATTGTTTGCTATGAGTTAATATTATTTGCAGATAATACAAACACCAGGACTCTGGGACAGACAGCCTTTTCTTAAAGCATATGGTAATGGAAGTATGGGAGGAGTAAGACACAGAGGCCAGAGAGGAATACAATTGGCAAATGATTCTCAACCGCATGAACCATACTCAAACTGTTATTGTAGTCTGGTTTAGCTGATATGAAATTCAGATGGTGATAATTGCAAGGAAGCCATACCTCAAATATGGTCTAAACTCTACTTGAAAACTAGATTCTTAAGTGTGAGAATTTTTATGACAGATGTGTTTAATAATACAGCACACTATTATTTTGTGCATGTTGTGAGAAGAAATGTTTCGTACATGTACTAAAGATACATAAATATGAGTTTGCTTGTAACTTCTAATTCTTTGTTAAATAGTTGAATTTTATATAGGTATTTGTAATACCAATTTATATTCGTGTAAATATATTTATGCATATCTACAAAATTTAATGATTAATAAATATTGATAGAACTATAATAACATCGCAAGCAAACATAGTATCTTTAACTCCTGCAAAACAGTTTTGATTCAATTTCAGAATTAGACATTTTTATTCTTAGACTATTAATTCATTTAAATGATTTGCACAAATAATGTAATACATATTGCTACATGTAGATGTACTTAGATGTATCATAATGTAACATCTATACATTTATTTAATCTTTTATTTTTACGTATATTTATATGTTAAAAAATTGCTTGGATAAACACAAAGTAATTTTATCGAACAAAGTTATTTTAATGTATCCATTTGTAAATAAAATACTTTTCAGTATTTAAATTATTTTTTCTCTAGTCGAGATTTTTATTAGAGCAATGTACACTAATGTATTTATATGTAACATTAACGTTCGATAAGAAACAGTTGCTTGTTGCCAAATTTGACAATGAATAATTTATTTGATACGAATTTCATTTTAAAAATAAATTGTATTTATTCTTAAAAAGGAACAGCAAAATGCAATTTATATCAATGCCCCAATATTTTGTTTTGAATAATGAAAAAATTAATAAATGTCCTGGAAATGAAAGGTAATATCAATATTATTAAAATTAACCTTTAGACTATCACATTTTAAATGTGACCTTTATTTACAAGTAGTTTGATGTACATAGACTTTCTTCGACATCATCATCATCAACATCCTCGTCAGAAGAAACAGGAAAAGCACCCAAATTAGATATAACTTTCACAAACAGAGGTTTTCAATTGTATGGAACATTAAGCAAAAGAGAATTATTAAAATTGCTTAAACATAAACTTGAACGATGTATTCGTGTACAGATATATTCGCCCGAAAAAATTATTTATGATACTACAAGCAATGAACGATTATGGATCACTATTTCTAGCGGTTTATACAGTACTAATGTTTTAAAGAAATTACAGAAAAATGGTATTTTCATTCATAAGTCTGGAAACTTAGGCTACTACTTTGTATAATAAAATTTTGTATTAATTTTTAGGAATATCTATACACACTATCATAAAAGCAATGAAACTTGGACTCATCAGTCTCAGTTATTGTGAACTTAGTTATTTTAAAGATTTCAATGTGGATCCATACATAATGGAATTCAAAGAAATGTGGTCAACTAAACTAGATGATGAATTAATTTTAAATTTAACACCTACTGGTTTAACTGAATTGGAATGTTGGAACGTTATTATGTATGGAGTAGCAATTCAAAAATCACGCATTCTATGTCATTTAATGTTAAGTGGCATTGATATTCCTGGGATTTTAACTTGGCAATCCCCTATTAAAATTGTATTGCCTGAAATAATACAGTTCTTGAAATACCTTGGAATAGATGAAGGTATCATACAAGTAGTAAAACAATTTGGAATTGATGAAGAAACTGAGCAAATGTTGATTGATATAGGATTTCATGAGATGAAAGAACAATTTTCAAATATGGAGGTTTCAATATACTTATTAATAATTTCTTTTATTAATCATATTTACTTTTACATAATATTTATATTTGACATGTAGGAAGTAGTATGTGGAACTAAATTAACAGTGGAATCAGATACTTCTAGTTCAAGAGAAACACAAGACATTTGTAAAACAAATAATTTAAAAGCTATTTCTAGTTCTACAGATACGTCCAGTGATTTTCAACTAAATTCTTGCCAATGTCATTTAGCAAAAAATAAAACAGCAGCTGAATTGACTGCACAGAGAAACGATTATTTGAGGTATATAATCTTATATATAATTCATTGTGTTCCCTGAAAGTGATACTACTGTTATATAAATATGGAATATCACTTTATATAAATGCAGACAAAATATTATGGTGCCATTAGCATGGGCAATGGCTAGAACTCTAAGTTACAACCCAACGGATCCAATTCATTATACAGCATATCAATTGCTGCGCTGGCCACATATTAGTGAGACCGAAAAGGATTCTCTTCAAGAATTAATTGCATTAGATACTATAAAAATGGACCGTAAACTTATAGTTAGCGCTATTCATAATACTTTTCAATACTTAAAAAATAATATTTTATTTTTAAAAAAGATAATACAACTTTTAATACGACATATAGATATAAAATATTATTATATCCAAATAGGAAAATAAATGTTTAGAAGAACTAATTAGAAATTCGAACGAAAAAAATGTGCAAAATACTGTATGCAAAAGTCCTCAACAGTTCAAACAGAAACATTGTAAATGTAAAAGGGAGCCAGTAGAAAAATATGAAACTTGTGAATTCCCTGAAGTATGTAGTTCTTGTAAAATCAATGTATCAAATAGCAGCGGGTTTTCACATTTACAGCATTAATTAAAACGTAAGTATTCATTTTGTAATAAAGATTATTTAAAAAATTTCTTTTATTTTATAATTTGTCTTATACATTTATTTCAAGTTTATGAAAATGGTGCAATAATTTCACAAGAGTATTGCATGGAACAAAATAAAATGAACAAACATTAGTTTTCTCGCAATAAAAAAAAAGAAATCCAAGTATATTATGGCAGTGATTCTAATTATAGTTCTTCTTAAAAATATGACATTATTGTTAATTTTACAGATACTTTTGTAACTTTATCAATAATTCTAAAATAAAGTATATAAAATTTCGATTATATTCGCTACTGAGGTGTGAATAGCCTTAAATATAATGCGTATACATGAGTTTGATAGCATACGTTGCCCAAACCACATTTAAATTCGTGATAAGTTTTTGATCAATATATAATACAATGAACTATGCATTTGTTTCGTCGAAATTTTGTTCGTTCTGCATAACTGTGAAACTTTTATTTTAAAAGTATAATAAATAATTATCATTTTCGTAAAAAATTCTTTTCTATTGTAAACTAAAAGAATGCCATATTAAAACAAAAGTGTAATGGATTCACTAACTATTCATGTTGATTCTCTATATGTGTATAATAAAAACGTAGATCGTTAAAACATAGGATCTGTTTGTTCTTTGTATAATTGCTTCTAAACTGTTTCTGTACATAGAATATAAAAATGATTTCTGCAAATGTAATGATTCAGGTACTACTGTTATGAATCAATGATATAGACTATTTCGCACGTAATAGAGTAAAAACAAAAATAAAATTAAAGGCAGTACTTGATAAATTCCATGTTCTTTCCAGCTTCTAACACTCTTTACCATACATATTAACTATGTTTGTTTTTTGTCAAAGACACAGAGAGTACTTCAATAAAACAGCAACGTATCAAAATATATTTTTGTATCTATTCGTTTGGTCTATATCCTGAGCTATTAACAGAATGGGGTTCCCTATTATGGTAAACTTTCTTTCATACATTAAGTAAAATTGGAAGTACAAAGAGAGATAATTAAGTCTATATTTTATATGGACGTTTTTCACAGTCTATTAATAACCATTCACAGATCTCTTAATCCTTTCTTAATGTTGCCTAACTTATTCATCAAATCGGTGATGTATCTTTGTTTATGACCTAACTTCAATATAGTAATAATTACGACAAATACAGAAAAGTTTCTGAGTACGCCTACGCGATAATTCGGTAGCATTTCCCTTTTAAGTGAGTAAAATGCAAATCAAGTAACTTAAACTGAATATACTTGAAGTTTGTTAATCTTAGCTTTTTCATCCTCAGATTCATCTCGGCAAATCATAAGTGTATGAGAGAGACCACAGGTAACAGCAGTAATATACAAACCTTCCAGCGCTTTCACTTCCATAGGAGTGGTCGAAGACTTACGCATTTCACCGAAACCCTGTTGATAATAAAAAAAACTTGAATTAACATCTTATACGATTTGATCAATGTACTTATATCGTATGAAATTATTTACCAATTCACCAAAAGTAGGACTAGCACCCCAAGCAATAACTGAATCGTCGGCTGCAACTACTACACTAGTTTGTGAACATCCAACGCATCTAATCTCCCAACCAGACAAATCTTGAATTGGTTTTGGATACATATTCGCTTCTCCTGTACGTTTTGTTTGTCCAAACATTAAGGCTGATCCATGAACATTAATGGCAATACTATAAGTGCTACCGCAGTATACAGCTCTTACACCTCTATTTGGTGGCTCTAAGAATTTAATTAAACGTGGCACTAATTCGTCTCGTTGCTCATTATGGCCTAGACGGCCAATACCACCGAATCCCCAGGAGAATGCACGATTTTTGCTATCAATTGCAACGGTGTGATGGTGTCCACAACTGAAATCTGTAATCTCGACACGATCTAAAGGTGTAACGTGACCATCCTTTGCTCTCTCGACGTATAAAACAATTCTCTTAGGCACTTTCTCAAAATGAAACGCCATTTTCGTATTCGTTATGAAATATTTTCCATCCGTATTGTGGCCCAGTGCTCCGTATTCCGGGCTACCGAATGAGTGCAGACCACCTTTAATATCCAAAATCATAGAAAATTCGGCTCCACATCCTACTTTAACTATGGGAGGACCAGAGTATTTTACTTTAGTAGCAGAAACAATGCAGGCATCGGATTTCCCAACCCCGCATTGACCTAATTTATTGTCTCCAGCAGCAAAAACTATACCGCGACTCGTTAAAAATAAAGTGTGATTACGACCACAAGATGCTGCTATAACCGTATGTCCCTTTAACGCTGTAACTTCAGTAGGTTCATCCCGACGTTTCATATCACCGACACCTAGTTGACCTTTAAACATTATCATATAAGAATTTAAATATGAGTCAATATGTTCTCACATTGTTAATATCACACTAAAAATTTGTTAAGCCACATTAATACATGTAATGTGGCTTAAAAAATTTCTAACTTTTTAATTAATTTCAATTATATTTACTTACATCACAACATTTATTATAAAGATAAGTCTTGTTTACCTTTTATTCATTTACCTTTATCATTTCTACCGAAAGCTAAGCATCTATTATCTTCCGTAACGATAATACTATGAGAAGCAGCTGGGCCAGAGGCAATTAATCTGACACGAGCGCCATTTAAATTTTTAAAGGTATGCGGTGTCCACAAACTACGTCCAACATTAACTTTTACTCCTTTTGGTGGAGCTTTGCGACCTGCCATGTCCCAATTTGTGAGGCCACACATGAGCAATGTTCCAGGCTTTCCCCATCCTCCCTATAATAAATGTTTATGAACAAATCGTTGAATAAAAAAACAAGATGAAATTTTATTAATTGTGTAATCATTTATTAAGAACTTGAGAAGTATATACATCTAAATTGAACATATTTGAACAACTTAAAGTCGATTGAAAAATATTTATGACTGAGCTTATCTCATTATTTTACAATGTTATTTTCTTATTTATAAGCAAATTCAAGCAACAATTATGCATTAACACTTCCGCTGCTAGAAACGCATTATTATATACAGTCAATTGTTTTTATAGTATCACAATGTAACTATTATGTTATTTCTATCAGTACTGACTATTACAGTAGATTCTATTTTATTTTTAATAACTCGTGTGCTCAAGTAATAACAAAGCTGAGTATTTCAAAGTTAGTTCAGTTCCTTTTCATGAAGGAAATGAAATTTCAGCCAACAGTGAAAGTGTTGTATCTTATTAAGCAAATTATACAGCAAAAGACTTATTCAAAACATGTACAAGGAGTTCATGATACTGTTTTGCAATTACAGTGCAATATAATAGAGTATATTAATAATTGAAATAACGGTACACAATCTTCCCTCTTCTGAAATGACTATTACCAGCGTAGGAAATGCATGACTGAGAGGCCCATCAGCGTCGTAAATACCAACGTTGCTGTTTCATCCCTTCAGACATCAACATACCCTCTACCTGGGATAAATAAGCATGTGAAAAAGATGAAAATAATATCACCTCAGGTGGCGGCAATTCCGGGATAGTGGAGACATCGGTAAGATCATCTTCGGCAGCGTCCTCACCGTCGGCATTCGAGCCGGTCTCGGCGTCATCGACATCTGAATCGTGTTCACTAGAAATGTCCTCTTCGTCATATTCAACTTTTCTTGATTTTCCACGACCTTTTTTGGTGGTCGGATTTTTCCGTTTAGCCGACATATCAATTAGTTTTATATTTTTAATTTATTTATTGCTTGGAAAATCAATTAAGTAGGACGCGCGAACACAATGACATTTATCGATGTAATGGCGCTGAGACCTGTACTCTTCGACAAACGGACAACAAAAACGCGGCCACCTGGCGCTCAAAAATCATAATAAAACCATGCTCCAGTGATAAGTACAAAGCAAACTCAAGTTTATGATTGTAAATCGCCGAGTGCGCGTTCCGTGTTCCGTTCATTTCAAATCTCTGAAACGCAGGAATCGAACTGCGGTCTTCTCGGTATGCGCCACATTCGGTTTATTTTCTAACAAAAGATGAAACATCTATTTGCAATTTATGATTATCATTTGTAACTGACATAAAACGATACTTTTTTTTATAAATCAATGTTGACTAAGTCTCATTCATAACTTTTACACGCCTACAACCCCATTTCGGGTCATATAACAAGTTCATTTTGTGTAAATTATGAAAGCATGTCATGTTATATCGGAACATGTGTTTCTAGGTTTGCTAGATCCCTATACCCCTAGATTTCTAGATCCTTATATCCCTAGATCTCTACATTACTAGAGTACAGATTCCTATATCCCTAACGACTAGAGTCGCCACTTTCGACTTTCTTGAAAGCAATGTCATGATTAATTTGCGTTATTCTTTAAATGACGCGATTATTCCGTCCGTTTCGTAAGTTTGCAAGTTTTATATTCAGCTGAAATTTTACAAGTCAGTCATTCGTGCCAAGTTGAAGCATGCTTTAAAGTCGCTAAGCTTCGAAAAGGAATATACAATTGAAGTACAAATTTTGTTCATTAGTAGAATTTTCCGAACATTAGTAATGCAATAACAAATTGAACGTGATGTTTATTGTACTGTGATACGTGTAAATGAAATGTTAATATTTATCCATCACGAACATTTTGATAAATTTGGTTCAGCGTGACTTAAGGTATGCAGTTATTTGGAATTTTATTACTGTGCGCACTTTCTCTTTTTAATTCGTTTATCTTGTCCGACTATCTAATTTTGATCTGTAATTTTCTGAGAACCATATTTCAGGTTATGATTTGCAATTTTTGATTATCATTATATATGATAATAATATATAATGTTAAACGTCTTATATCTTATATTTTTTTTAAGACGCAATTACTTTGTGTATAATATTTGTTATATAAATATAGATCAAAATTTAAATTTATTCTATTGGTACATATAACTTCCACTTCTAATTTTTGTTGTAGATTCTTCTTATCAAAGATGGAATTCCCAAATTTAGGAGAACATTGTTCAGAAAATAGCTGTAATCGTTTAGACTTTTTACCTTTAAAATGTGATGCTTGTTCAGCAATATTTTGTGCAGAACATATATCATATAGCAATCATAGCTGCCCAAGTGCTTATAAAAAAGATATCCAAGTTCCAGTATGTCCTCTTTGCAATGCACCAGTACCTACAAAGCGTGGTGATCCGCCAGATATTGCAGTTGGACAACATATGGATAATGAATGCCAGTCTGATTTAAGAAAACCCAGGCAGAAAATTTTCTCCAATAGGTAAAATATTGCATATTTACTATATGAGGAACAGTTAGATTACTTTTACTATGTTGTGTTAATTTTTTTTTATTTCAGATGTTCTTCAAAGGGTTGCAAAATCAAAGAAATTGTTCAAATACGATGTTCTGACTGTGGGAAAAATTTTTGTCTGAAGCATAGACATCCTACAGATCACGAATGTATAAGTCAAGAAGAGGCTATTCGAAGAAAAAGATTGGAAACATTTGGTAACAATGTGAAAGTAAATAGAAGAAACAATGAAAATTTCAAGAACTATCAAGGCAGTATGAGCGAAGATGAAGCTCTTGCTAGAGCTCTTCAAGCTTCTATGCTGGAAGAAAATACAGCTAGGCGACGAACACTTGAAACTGTTCCTTCTGAAAATAGAGATAGGTGTAGACTTTCATAAGATCTTTACTCTGCACAAATTTTTATAAACATTCAAGGTACGTTTTTCAACCGCACAAACATAGATAAATGATTATATCTTTTAGAATTTTGATCTTCTGCTTGGCATAAAATCAATTTAATATTTAAAATATATTGAAAAATCATACCTTGTAACTTCAGCTTTCTATTTCATGATCTAGTTCATGTGGACTTTTACGAATTTTATTATGTACTACTAAAAAATCTACAGGTTCATATTTAATAGATAAGAACTGAACTATATAAATACATATGATGCTAATTATTTAAAAGCACTTTTAAAAGTTCAGAATTGTGCTATATTCTTTCTTTCACACTATCATTTTAAATTGACTTTTAGAATTTAGTAGTCTTCAAGAATTTAAGACTCATAAGACTCACTTTAATTCATAAGATGTTACTGAAAGTGCTACACTTTATTTATAAAAGAAAGCTCCAAGGATTTTAAACTTTGTGCTTACACAAATGAGAATGGTTTTATAAAAAAAAAAAAATCATTTTGAAGTTTGAATCATAGTCTGATTAATAAAATAATCTGTTATTAAAAAAAAATTGTTAACGAAGTTTATAAAATACTTGTAGAAGATTATTAAGCATTTACTAAAGTTTACATTATAGTAAGTAATTTTAAGTAGGAAGAAAGTATAGAAAAGTAACGTAATGTAGAAATAATTGTAGTTATCAAATTTATAAACATACACTACACTTACTCTATAGTTTATTATATTTAATATTGATACTGAAAATAATGTACAATATAGCTGACATATCGACGTAATAAGCAATTCACATCTTTTATACTTTTTTAACAAATATGTATAGTAACACTGACAGCCTTTCTTGTTTCATAAATATTTTCTTTCAATTTCTTGTATACTTTTAGTAAGACAAATGCTTCAAATATAAGTACTGTTGAAATTATAAATTATTCCATATGTATATAGTATTAGATTTCATTCAATTGTATATTCTCTATTTCTCTAATTATTTAATTTAAAAGAAATATCCGAATATTGGAATAACATTTTGTTATCCAATCAATGGAGGTTTAAAAATCATTATTATCTATTTTTAAAATCATATATTTATTAAATTCTCTTTACATTAATAATATTTGTAAATGTTTCAGGATTAATTTCAGTAAATTCAACTTACATATTTTTGATTACATTTTTATAAGAAATCGTCTCGAGTATTAATTATTTTTTAGCAGTTTAGAAAAATTATTCAGAAATATATATAATTTGGTTTACTGAATATATCTTGGAATATAACAATAGGACTTCTTTTAAAGAAATATGTAGTTTTATTATAAAAACAAAAGTGAACTTTATGATTAAAGTTAAAAATAAAATTTAAGTCTATTATGACATTTCTTTTGTTAACACAAATTTCGTTATTTTCAGCTTCACTTCTAAGTAATTTAATATTATATCGATTCGACTATGTATTAGCAACATTATCTGCCAAACTCGCGTGAAGATTTAAAAAGATATTAAAAGGCAGCCTCAAAGAAGAGTGCCTTAATAGATAAAACTTAGTTTTTACTAAAACGTAAATTCTTCATAAAACAATATTTGTCACTGTTATTTAAAATTTATATGTTTATCTGCTTCGAGAAATTAATAACAATTACATTTATATAAATATATATATTAGATGCAAAATTTCCTATTTCTTATCACAAATACAGTTTCTATTTGTATTTAAAAAAACGATAGAGTTGTAATTAATGTAATAATAATTTTAACTGTTCAAAGATTTATAAATAAATTAGTATATTTATCTGATAAATATACGACTCATTTAGTCCTAAAGCATTACTTTTTATCTAATCAGAATAAATGTGAACTTAATTAACAGGTTGGCTAAACATAAAAAAATCCTAAAAGTTTTATCTTTGTTACACTTTATTGTAAATACTAAACATTGAAAAATACACAACTACATTTTTTCGGTTTTCCGATATTCTTTGAATAATTGCTTCAATTGAATATTAAAATATTCAAGAATTGCTTAAATAATATATATATTTCTAAATTATTTACAAATTTTCATTAACGAATAAATGAATTAATAAATTATTACAATTTATAGAACATCTTGATAAGATGCATGAATCCGAGACTCAGAAAATCATGTATTACTTCACTATACTTCGTATTTCTGAGACTTTAATATCCTATATATTTATAAAAAATCAATTCTGAGAACACAGTATATAGCAATCGTATACTTATTTTCCAACTTTTCCTAACTTGGTATCTGTTTTAGGATTAGCTGTGATACTTTGTACACGGACGATTGCCTCATTAATCTTTGTTTGAAGATTTCTAATGTCTTGAATGTAAAGAAGGGCAAGAATTTTAGCCGCATTCTCTAACGCGGGTTTGTTCAGTTGGAAACCAGCAGCAATGTCCATTATAGGAAATGGTTTACCACGAATAATTTTGGAATTTGGATTCCGTAAACACTCAGAATTTAATCTCCTTTGCACTAGTTTACTACAGGCTTTTAACGTAATCAAATGATTTGGATGGTGTGGAATTCGAAGTAACTTTGCCAGTGAATATGTTCCAGTTTTAAATTCAGTGCTGTAAACTAACAATAATAAAATAATTAAAATAAGAATAAAGCAACTTAACAGTATTTTGTAATATGTACGTACAGTCTAGATTGTCAAGTGGATTCTTTGATCTAAGCTGAGGCACCTTTGCTTCCTGTTTCATTTTAAGTTTCATTTCTTTCACATTTTGCGAATACTCTTCAGCTGAAATAAGATAAAAAATTTATCTATATATAAAATTGTTTAAAACAATTTCCACCATTTTTTATAGCTATATAGTCAATTAAATATAAATTTGATTTGCAAGTACATACTATTATGTTCTGCTTCTAACCAGATGGCATGTCCAAGCAGCCACTCCAGCTGATCTAATGGTTTATTCAAAACTGGACATTTAACATCTTCGCAGTATTTAGCAAAAACTTTAGGCCAGCTTTCATTTTTCAAATTTCGTAATTCTTTTCGATCCTCTATGGAGTACTGACGTATTTTTTGATCTTCCAACCAGATTACTACTTTACGAAAGTGTTGAGAATCTGTAATAGATTTATGACATAATCAACAATATATTAATACTGATAAGTGATAAGAAAAGAATGCTAGTAATAAAATTAATTTTATTTGCCACACATATTTCATACATTTAATATTATATAGGTTAACTCAGAATATAAAACAAATAAAAATCATAATCTTAGAAGTAATAGTTGTAGGAATTCTTCGCTGATAATAAAATTAGAATACAAAAACTGCCATACTGTGAATTTTAAGTGGATGTCTTAAACATAGAATTATATATCTGTTAAACGTTGCCGGTCGTTCTAACCTATAACGATGAAGTCATCTTTGTCAAAAAAGTTGACTTCCAGTATTTACCACAAATAGAAATTAAAAATAATATAAAATAATATTATTTAAATCTGAATACACTCAAGATTTCTAATGAAATCTTAATATATCATTAACATTTCGTCTTTATATACGTGAAAGACGAAGTGAAACAGTGAAACAGACCATTCACATTAACCTTGTCCCATTCCACGTAACCGAGAGCTTTCAATCTTCTTTTAAACATTTTCAGTTTCAAAAATAAATACAAATGTTATAAATTAAGTGCATAAGCTTTCTTAGTGTCGTCAACCGTATTAACCGGTGACAGAACTACATTAACCACGGACAGAGGATACAGGGATAGAGTGTAAGCTTGTGTTACAGTTGAGGAAAGCAGTCGCATAAGGAGACAAGTCCTAACAGCTGGTACCCTATTTTGGTAATGAAAAATTTACAGATATATAAATTTTCAAATTCAAGAATTTAGAAATTCCAAAGTAACAAATTTTTTAATTTATATAGCAATTTATTATCCATTCCGCGAGAAAGTATCCCCCTGAACGAATGCGCTGCGCATGAAGTATGCGCAGTAACTGAAAATGCGAGCTTTATGTACGGCAAATTTACATGTAGTAGTTAGTACAAATTAACAAAGAATTTAAATAAATTTCCAAGCATCGGCCAACAAAAAAGAAGTGAGAGCATAATTAAATTTTTATAAATTTTCTAAGTGTGTGATATGAGGAAAATTAAACGTAAATTGACTCTAAATATTGATCAATTTGCAATAAAGCATTCAATTTGATTACACTGATTGTTTATGTGTGTTTGACATAGCGTTATATTTAAGACTAGATGGCGATACAAGTAGTATAGAATTTTTAAGAAGTATGTTATCTATATTTTAAATGTTTAATGGATGGACGGTAAACCTGAGTTGCGCAGGACTGTTGCGCAGTCAGTTAAGCACAGTCCACTGGCAAAAGTAGTGGGGCTGCCCAGGAGAAAGATGGCCGCCACCAGCGAAGAATCGAGTGTTATGGAGCCTTCTCAGACGAATTCCGGGCAAAATCAACCCGTTGATCCTCTTAAGATGCTCTATCCAATGGTAAACGAAGAGGAAACACCGCTGCCACGGTCATGGAGTCCTAAGGACAAGTACAATTACATCGGCCTCTCCCAAAACAATCTTCGTGTTCACTACAAAGGTACGTTTGATCACTCTCGATCTTTCTCAGCGATTTCTTTGCATCTCTGACTATCCTTGTGGAAGATTTTTAATGTTCTCCGTATCAAAGGATCAAGGAACGATCTTGGCCAATAGGATTTGATTCTTGCTCGATATGGACGAATCGTTGACGGGGCTGTAATATCGATTGAAAATGGCAGGGCTCCGTTTCGCGTGTGTCAGCGACCTAAACAAAGGAATCAGCTGATCGGTCATGGTCTCTATTCGACTTTCTCTCGATTGCCTGTATTTTTCGATCGTATATCAACATTTCCCGAAAATATTTTTTATCGATCGTGATTTCTTGTTGATTCCCGTCGGTCCTAGCGTAACTTTTTATAAAATTCGTGGAAAAAATGAATCTGCGTAGAGAAGACGCAATGGCAATGACAGCTGCGATGTTTGAACAGTTACATTTCTATCTCCCTTGTTTTCTCTCTCTTATTCTCTTTCTCTTTCCTTTCTTCCTTCTTCGTTTATCCTTGACCAGTTTTAGAGTGAACACACATTTTATAGTTAAATATTCAAATTTGTTCTTTCAAATTTAATGAAATGACAAAAATTATAATACTGTCAAGGACAATATTATTGTTATTATATTTTCACTTTCAAAAGTAATCAATATTTGGGTTTGAAAACATAATACAATTTTTTATGTGTTTGAGAGAAAACTTTTTTGAACAGTAAAATCTTTACTAAAATAAACTAATATATTTTAGTAAAATCATTTATTATAACCTTGATATGATATCATATAACTTTTTGCTAATATTATTATAAAATATGATTTTTTAGAGTTATTGTATTTGTTGCAAATTATTTACTTCTGTTAACATATTTAATTAATATAAACATTTTGTGTTACAGGGAAGATTATAATTTTATAACCTAAGTTTGCATTTTTTATTACAGAGATTGTGTGTTAAGATTATTACTTTAATAAATGTACATTTAACATGTTTTCATTGTCTAATTAATTTAAAATTTATTAATACCAGCAATAATATGTTTGTATACTTTTAAACATTTCATAAATTGCACTTGTTAGTTCATGCATGTTGGTAACAAATGTTTATAAAGTAACATGAACAATTATTTTTTTGTAAATTTAATATATATTATGATAATAAATGTTATTTTACATGAATGATTAACACATTTGATTTATGATCAAAATCATTGTATTTGTTTAATAGTAAATATGATTTTTAAATAGGAATGAACTGTTGCAAAATTTCAGTGATTTCATATTTCATTGAAATGTGCAGACTAATTATTCTTTTTTTAATAATGATACACTATCATGCTTATAATATTCCTTTATCATTATGATAAAGCTTGTATCTTCTGATATATCAGACATTGTAACTGTATTAGATTGTTTTAACCAGAAGTTAAATAAAAATGAACAAGAATAAATTTATACAAGATTATTCCTTCTTTATTTCTTTCAATGTTCTTTCAGAGCCTAAAAGTTCTCCCAAAATTTTTTATTATTTGCAAGTATTATATAATTACATAAAATTGCAAGTTTTCTTAATCTTCTTTTCACCTAAAAAATTTTAGAATAAAAATTTTCATAATTATTAATAATTCGTTTAAATTAGATACCCAAATGTATTCAATAAATAAAATCACCAGATCGTTTTGTAATCTATTATATAATAATTATTAATAATTTATTATATAAATATTCGTTCATTCGTTTCTTACCATCTGAAAACAATGACATAAAGTATGTTGCTAAATAGGAACACGAATTGCAACACGTTTACCGGTGTGCTTACAAGATCCGTTAATAATTCATTTATACCTAATTAAATGTGAAATGGCTAACTCTGGGTTACTAGGTCGACAAACTGCATCACTGCATTGAAAGTGCATCCAAGATTAGCGATTAGATTGCGACGAACGATCACTTCTGTTCTCGAATTTCTTTCCTTCAAATTTTATTGAACGAACGAACTTTCGTTATCTTCGTCATCTTCCACTTCTTTCCGTTTATACGCAGAGAAATTATATTCCAATGACTTTTTACTACTGAAATGAATTATTTTTGTTAGACTTATAACAATTTTATTATTTCAACATATAGATATGACAATATACGGCTATATACGTCGTGGCAATATATGAGGCGACATAACATGAGGTCCGTGTCTTAACACTTGTGCAGTTGGAAATTTAACGTTATTAGACTACCTGATTTACCTCAATTCAACTGCAAACCTAATAAACAATGGTAATTGTATTTCAGGTTATGGAAAAACCCATAAGGATGCCGCAAGTGTACGTACAACGCACCCAATACCAGCGGCCTGTGGTCTCTATTATTTTGAAGTGAAGATCGTCAGTAAAGGCAGAGATGGGTACATGGGAATTGGGTTGTCTGCTCATGGGGTTAACGTGAACAGGCTGCCAGGCTGGGACAAGCACTCCTATGGTTACCACGGAGACGACGGTCACAGTTTCTGTTCCTCGGGAACTGGACAGCCTTATGGTCCCACATTCACCACGGGAGACGTAATTGGCTGTGGCGTAAATCTCGTCGATAACACTGCCTTCTACACGAAGAATGGACACCACCTTGGTATCGCATTCACTGATCTTCCGGTACGTGACCACATCAGGACCATTCGTGTATTGTGTACAAAATGTTTCAAGACTGAAGGCATCAGAAAGTCCTCTTCCATTTTGTAACCCGATACCTATGTTTTCATTGCATTATAAGTATGGTCACAAGCAAGTTTTACTCTACAGAAATTTTGATAAGTCTGCGAATTTGCATCATTAAATTAACTGTGCAATTATTTTAAATCGTCTATATGTACATCAGAAACAAATTCACAGTGGACATTTTTTAGGCATTCTGTACACTAACCCTTTGTCTTACGACGTACGAAAATATTGACCTCGAAATCGGTGCTCTTTTGATTATCAAATGAATCGGATTTTTAGGATAAAACTACAGGATTGAATGTATTAATATTCCTTTTTGAAAAGAATTGTACATAAATGTATTATCATGCATTCAATGCATGAGTAACACAAATTAATCTGTGTTTGTGTTTTTAAACTTTGTATATGATATATAGTATTCATTCTAATCACATCCTTAAGTACTCAACTTTCTTAGTAGATTGAAATATGTAATTGTATTTTATGCATAATAATCATTATCAGCTCATTATAATACTTTAAACATTAAGTTGTAATAAGAATGTTAGTGTTACTACTTGATAATGGTAAATATTTTGAATAATATATTGTTTTCTTATAGCCAAATTTATATCCTACGGTGGGTCTTCAAACGCCAGGAGAGGTAGTAGATGCAAACTTTGGACAGGAACCTTTTGTCTTCGACATAGATGACATGCTAAATGAGCTTCGTGTCAAAACAAGATTGCAAATTATAAATTATCCAACACCAGATCATGGACAGGGTCAGTGGCAAGCAGTTCTTCATAAGTAAGTTCAGCATTTTCTTCAAATAATTTCTGTTGCATTATTTCATGTCATAATTGCTGTTTTAATGAATTTTAAAGTTATGCAGTGTTGTATAGCACAACAAAAGAATGAAAATACTCTGCACTGTAAACTGAAATGACCCTGTTAATAAGTGTCCTCTATCATATATAATAATACATGCATGTTAAAAATACATGTATGTTGAAGTTTAATGATCAAATTATGGTTCAAATGCAATTTTGTGTACATCTTGTGTCATCAAAACAGGAACATTTCAATATAATTTGTTTGAAGATCCTGAAAATATTGTCAGAGATAAGGCTGTATAGTTTAAAAGGACACACACATGCCAATATAAAAATTATTTTTCTTTTCTTTTCTTTTTAGGAGTTTAAAGTCATCGAAATCTTTTTTTGTCAGGATTACATATTATTATGAATACTCAGTGCTGCTTCACAGTTCCACGACCCACAGGCAATATGATCTTCACAGAATTTTAAAGATGAAAGTGTCTTGAGACATGAGTAAGCCTCTAAATCTTGAGTTTGTGATACAAAATAAGTTTTAACCATTACTACAAGCATACACACTCCAGAGTTTGCAAAGCATATATGATTTTCAAACTGCATAATTTAAATACTTGACAATATTTTCATGTTTTCATAATTGTAAAAAGGGAATTATCTGACAGATATTATTTTAATTTTGTTTGTTTATGATCACTTCAATATTTTATAGCAGTTAAAATGCAATACAAAACCAAACAAATTATTTTGCTTCATGAGAAATTTTTGTATCAGTTTGTATATATTTTATTTCTAGCGATTGTTGTTCGTTTTTGCAGAATGGTTTCAACATATTTAGTCCATCATGGTTATTGCGCTACTGCCGAGGCGTTTGCTAATAGTACTGGCCAAGGATTTGAAGAAGATCTTAACTCTATTAAAAATAGACAAAGTAAGTTATTTTTTAAATCATTGCCTTTCACTGTTTCCTGTAATTAACTATTTATAATTGTCAACTGCTCTGCACCATTGATAGCAAGAATTGAGTCTTTTTTGTAAATGAAAGTGTTTAGAAAAGTTTACATTTCTATGTTTCAGAGATTCTAAAATTAGTACTGGCAGGCAGAATGGGAGAAGCCATAGAATTAACCAGTCGATTGTACCCGGGTCTCCTGGAACGGGATCCGAATCTTCTTTTCGCTCTGAAGTGTCGGCAATTTGTTGAGATGGTGAATGGCAGCGATTCCGAGATCACTCAAAACTCTAACATTAATCAAACTAGTGTTATACAGTCTACGAAGGCTTATACAAAGTCCTCAGCAAACGGTAACGTTGAGGAGATGAATCTGAACAACGCGATGAACGGTTCCACCGAACAACAATTGCTGGTCAACGGACAAATCGAGAATGATGTAGATATGGAAGAGAATGTTATGAACGGTATGAAAAATAATACCGAAAATGGCTATCAGAATGGTGACCTAAACACCAATGGGTACAAGTGTCAGAATGGAGAAGATGTCGATATGGGTGAGACGTTATGTTGCTTTCTTTACTCGATCAGGATAAAATATATTTATTGTCGAAAATTATAATTAGTTACCATTCTTACTTTTACAATAACAATAATTTAAAACGAAACAACGTTAACTTGTTCTCAGAGACCAACAGTCTTAATCAAACTCAGCAGCAGCAAAATGGCGGTTGTATTCTAGAGAACACATTGAATAAAAGTAATAAGAAACAACTTTGTGGCGGGGACAAACAGGCGATCGAGAAGATGCTAGAGTTCGGCAGGCAACTGTATTCACAGTCGATACATCTGCGACAGCAGCACGGAAAAAATGAAAGCAATAAAAAGATGCTCCAAGATGCGTTCAGTCTTCTAGCTTATGCAAATCCGTGGAACTCGCCGGTTGGGTGGCAGTTAGATCCTCAACAAAGGGAAACAGTCTGTGCGAGACTCAACTCTGCCATACTCGGTAAGATTTTCTATATGCATATGTGAGACGGTATGATCACTTGTTATATCCATGCATTCTATTTTTTGAGGTTTTCTCAAAACTCTATCCCAAGGTACATCCTCACTAATAATGTTTAGCAATGTATTTCTACATCATGTAATATGATGGGTGACTTGCATGCATGATAGCTTTAAGCATCCAATTTATTTTGAAGTAGTAGTGTAAGTTCTCTGTTACTAATTTTGCAACGAAAATGTGACTTCAGAATCGAGTAATTTGCCACGACGACCGCCATTGGAAGTAGCCGCGTCACATGCGAGAGAATTGGTACGGCTGATGTCTCACGCAGGTCTTGGGGCATGCGGCTTCGCGGTCGTAGACAATATCATCCAATATTGACGGTGCCTACCCCTGCTACCACGTCTGCTTCTTCTGCCGGCTCGAGTTTGGTTAGTAATTCTATTATGCGTACATTACGCATCGATTAGAAGAAGCTGGGGATAGTTGATACACACACGTACACATACACACACATAAGAATTGTCGTGTGGGAATGCGAATTATTCGTTATGCCAATGAGGAGGATTGTTACGAGAAGTTCGTCGTTTGTCTTTAAATTAAGCTATATTTTGTGATACGAAGAGAATATCGCGCATATTTGATTTTGTTTATTTTGCTGATAATAAAATGTCCCTTCTATGTGGAATGAATAAAGCATTTTAATTTTCGTTCAATCATCCATCTTTCATGTGGAAAACAGGCTTCAACGTGTGTTGTTTCTCTATGTGTCGTTCATATTACCCTCATTTCATATAATGAACGTCTAACTTTTCCCATCTTATTATGCGTAATTGTTTTACCTTTTATCCGTTTGATCTTCTTAATCATCGAAAGATTATCGATGTTGTTTCATGTTATGAATACATAGCGAGGAAGGGTAGCGTGTTTTTATTTTTTAATTCTTATAATCGAGTTTTTGAACGACAATAAATTATGTCTAAGTTATTGTTGCAAAATATTATTAAATAGTGTTTTAACATAAGGAGGCTGGTAGCGATATGTAAATCATACCATTCAATTATGGATGACAGTTTTTGGAATTCTGGAAATCTATGTATCAATTATCCCTGGACTCTACAGAAACATTTTACATATTTGTACATTTTTACCTCTAATGTAGATAGTAATTCAATTAGCCTTTATATAATTTATGACCATTACAATTTTGTAAAGAGAAACCTTACAAGAAAGTATGTACACACCCAGTACACGATCCCTTTTTGTTGAAATTATTTGTAAACTAGTTCATAATCCTCTCGTGTAACTGTTAAGTACTTGACTTTATATATTTTTCTAAAATTATATAAGGTTTTTAAAATACGTATCATTATAAATAGTTTTTATACCCATACACTATCTTTTGTGTTTGATGTAATAAATTCAAAATTAAGTATATTTTACTTATCGATTCATGTTAATTTTTGTTGTCTTTATACAGTTTTGCCAAATACATGGTGCTGTAATTAGGAATTAAGATACAAATGTTATGAATTTTTTTACATAAAATGAATTTTCATATTTCTAAATCATATATTTGTGTCAAAAATAAAATAATGCATAAAATAGCGAACGTCAAAATTTTTTTTATTGACATGAGTCCTAGATAAAATTTGCTGATTTATGAAGGAATAGTAATTGTTATGATATTGAATATCAATGATGAAGTTTTTAATGGATATTTATAAATATTTCTTTTTACTTGCAAATTGTTTACTTTCTTATTATCATTCGGACGAAGTAGACGTATTTTATAAATCTAATCATACAAAACATATATTATTATGACACTTATTTCTAAAATACTCATTATATAGATCGCATTATAGCTTATTAATTTAGTTGTAAGTTGAGTTAATCTTTTTATACTTTTTCAGTTTTAGCATCTTCTCATTTGTGATGCTTTCTAAATTTGTATAGACATCTGTGATCAAAAATGAAATTATCAAAACATAATATTACATTTTTCTTTTTTTCAGAAAATTTATTTTATGTACAAATAATGATAAGCAACTAATGAATTGAAATTTTTATTGAATTTTAAACGAAACATTTATTTCTGGCTGTTTTTCTGAATCAAGAATATAAAGATTAATTTTTTATGAATTCTGTACTTTAATGTAATTTCTTAATATTACTATATATCCATTTTGTCAATTAAAAAAAAAATGTTTAAAATACTATATATTTTATTATTCTTTATTAATTTGTAAGTAAAAACAGAACGAAATCGCAATACAAAATAAATATGATATAACTAAATTGGCAATCATGTGTGTATATTCTTATAGATTTAATAAAATATTGTGTGCAAATATACAATCAAGTATGTTTATCAATTACTAAAGTACACAATCCATTGTTCCTTCTTTTCAAATTTGATAAGTAAAAGATACTAATACTATTATCTTTTTATATATTAATATTTGAATAATCTTAATTTATTTGTAATAGTCTTATACTGCTTATTAGACTGCTCATACATACTGCTTATTAGACTGCTCATACATACTGCTTATTATACAGACTTCCTTTGAAAATAAGTTAGTATGAGAAGGATTTGTATTTGCTTCAAAGTTAAGAATTTAAACTTTCAAAGTTTGTTATACTTTGCGTCTTAGGAAATTCCTTTTCATTCAACGAATAATGTTTTATTTTCAATATTTCTGGCCAAATCACTTAATGCTTTTTATTCTATTTCCTTCAACTACAGAGGAACCTAGAACCCATTCTTTCCATTTATTCCATCTCCTTCAATAGTCTTGCGCTCATATATTTTTTTGGTTGGAAGCTTCCTTAAACTGAAAAGGGGAATCATCAAAAATTGTGTTATAACCAAGAACTCTACATACATAAAGTTAATATTTTGAATTTGTGGGTTCAGGATCTTCTCTAGTAAGTATTAGTGCATCTTTTGATCCTTGATCACGTTAATAATTATAATTCTGTTAAAATATTGTGAAAATCTTCTTTCAGAGATGGTTTAGTAGTCTCAAATATTGTTGACTGTGATGATGGATGCAACATAGACTTTTCTTGGTTAAGTACAAGAAGAACACTAAGTTTAGCAGTGCTTTTATCGGAGTTCTCAAAACTGAAGACATGTAGTGGCTATGACATAACAAGGTTGTAATATTCAACGTAAGGCAGAAGAAATGAAATTTAATCACTGAAACAGCAATTTAATAAGAAGTGTAATGCACATTGTATTTCTAGAATGTGTAATATGATTCAGTTGAGTCTGAATTAACCAAGAAAAGTCTATGATTTTCAAAATATTTATAAAATAGGGGAGGGGTTAAGTGTTTGATGTCTTGTTACAATACTGATCATAGCAATGTTTGTTTCAGGATGTGGAGACGGAACGTGGAGCAGATAATACTTTTGCAACAACAACTTCGCGACATCGCGTGCCTCTTCAGCTAGAGTCCGCTCTACCGGCAGTTGGCTCTCTGGCTCGATCTCACGTATACACCCCAACAACAGTAACAAAATGAAACACACACACACAAGCGAAATATACATACATGTACACACACGCCCGCAGCGAGCAAGAATAAAACCCACCAAATGTATGTTACACGATATGCCACGGGGACGAGGATGATTTTCAACGTTTTGACTGTGATCATCGAGGATCATTGTTGCGATTAACAGCCCCAGACCGTCTGGGAACTCAAAGGAGAAGGAGAGCAAGGATGTTGATAAAAACGAGAAACTAGGTTGTTGATCTGATTAACACGGTTGTGAAACCAGGAAGAGACGAAGAGGATGGTGACGAAGGACAACGGATGCGAATAAAAAGTTAAGGATCACGTTTTAAAGAAAAGAAAGAAACACCTGCCAAGACGACCCTTTTCTCGTTTCCTCTTTTTAGCCCCGTTATTCATCATCGTCATCTCGAAGTTGTTCCTTCGTTCCCAATTAATTATGACCGACTGTGTTACCCGTCATTTGTCGCCGAGGAGTATGCTTTTATATTCGTCTCGTTTCGAGCAGGTAGGTTCTTATTGACCTTATTCGATTACTCTCCTCGTGACTCATTTCAAAATTCTAGTTTTACTGTCGGTTCTATTTTTTTTAAGTTTGTTGAATGTAACCGTTTGCTTCCAGTGCGATTAAAAATTTTAATTTTGTTTTATCGTTGGCGTAATTACACTGCGATGGAGGGTGTCAGAATGAGAGGTTTCTTAAAACTGGAGATCTAGAAAATGCAGTGAAAGTGGCAATATAACGAGAAGCGTCAGACCCAGTCCAGTGGTGGTTACGCCAATCATTGTAACGAATATATTGTTAAATTGAATTGTATTAACAGGTTGTTTCATCCTCTGTGTATTTTAACAACTCCTCTTGATTGTTATATATTTTTTTCAGAATATATTTTAAATCTCTCATCCCTTCATTGTCACCCTTTTTAACGAGAAAATTAACGAGAAAAGAGCCTCGTCGATACTACTACGATTAATTAATCCCTCGTCGATTATCCTGATAGCCTTTCTAATCGTATCGTCAACGAGTCGATTTTTGTATCAATTGTTAGCTCTTAAAGAAAGAAAGAAAAAAATAATGAAAAAAAGGAACACGCGATAAAAATGATGAAATAAAGATGATATTTTTCGATTAAGTTTCGTTATTGTAATTTAAGGGTTTAGAACGTTTGGCCAACGCGTCAAACGACGGTAACAATAACGAAAGCAATAATTTTTGATTTTGTAACGATATATTTCTTTTTGCTACTCGTTTTTTTTCTCTCTCTCTTTCCTTGTTATTATTATCTTTCTTTTAATGTCACACGAATATTCGATGCAACCATTTTACGGTCGTTAAGTTGAACTTCCTTTGATTTTACTCGCTCTAGGTTTGCGACTAAACGATTTAAAAGAAAAAAAATTGTGTACTAGTGATACGAAAAATAAGGAGCGTGAGGAACTTTGTAAAAAATTAGAGGAAACCAAAAAAATATTCAAAAATCGAGCGATCAATTCGACGGAAACTAATATACTATATATGATCCTGAATGATTGTAAAGATCGAAAATTATGACAAGTTATATAAAGTGCAAAATGAATAAAAAGTTGTATAATTAAAGAGAACGTTGTAAAATATGCGATGGTATCTTTCTTCCACAATGACAATTCGTTTAACTATAAGTTTCGCGCGATCGATCGAGGGAAATTCAAAAGTTTGTTCGATTCACGGTTTATTTTTTTTCAAATTTAGGATTTGTACATTGAAGAAAATTTCGATTAAAAATTAAGGAAACTTTAGATTAAGTTAGGCGATACGAATTGTCTCTATTCTAGCGGACGAATTTTTGATACTTAAAATTATGCAGTCGAAATTAAAATCGTTCTCTCGATTTCATCGAGATTGTATGTTTCAATTAATTACGCAGTTAATCGGAAATTTAATAAAGGTCAATTTTTCTACTAAAAAGAAATTTCCATTTTTTTCTTATACATTTCAGATATTTCAGTTTTTTCATTTGTAATGAAAATTAACGAGAGAACCATTAAAATATTTACAGAGTGGCAAACTAAGGTGAAAGAACTAACATTCGAATCGAGAATAAAACACAATATGAAACGAATCAATAATTAACAAACAAATATATGTATAAATATATATATATAAATATACAAAAAAATATATAAATATATATATATTTATATTTAAGATTGAAACAATCTTGTATTCTATAATAAGTAATTGTTTTTTATATGCGAAATAGTATATATACATATTATTATTATTAATATTATTATTATAATACGTATATACATGTATATGTATGGATACGTGTAAAGGTATATATAAACATGTATATGTGTATAAATGAAGAACAACAAAACGAAAGAAATTAACAGTATGATTAATAGCGTACGCGTGAATTAATTATTTTATATGTATGTGTATATGTATTAGAGGCACACATATCAGTATGATTCATATGTGTGAGCGTTTTGCGTACATATATGCAGACATAACGAATGTGTGTATTCTTGTGATAGAGAGGGAGAGATTGTGCAATAGAGAGAAAGGGAGAGCATGAGAATTCATTGATTCCAAACGAAGATCAATGGACAAGATAAAATTTGACAATTTTTAGTGTTTAACGTTTTCTGTACTATAGGTAGAGCCATGAGTATCTTGCGAAATAATACAGTATGATTTGGAGACACTGTTCGTTGAATTCTGTTTCTATCATTAACAGAAATCCCCAAATTTTTTTTCTTTTATTAGCATTTCTCTTAAAATTTTTTTGAATTTCCCGCCACTTTTATCTAAGGATCATCTTGGACATTTTTTATGAATTTACTGACAGTTCTTTTAATCAAGGTTTTTTTTTAAAATATTCTCAGAAACTTACAGTAATTTCTTTTACTGGAGACATTTTAGTCTAATTAGTTTTATCGACTTGGAACGCTTTTTTAAAAAAAATGGCGCTACAGATTTAAATATAGAAAGTTACCGACCGAGTACCAGTTACCGATAGAGCATACGTCGGTACGTATTACGTTTCAACGTTTTACCGTCAGATGGCGATAAACTGTATTCTATATAATACGTCACCACGCGTTACATTGTCTACTTATTATAATGACATTATCACGAGTCATAGCGATATATATATCACACATTATCACGTGTAGTTATACTACTATAACCACTATGTTACATTGGATGTACTAGAGATGCTACGACAGATTCATAATATTCATACAAAGTGAAAAAAGTAGTGAAAAAAGTTCTAATTCGAAAGAACCACCGAGTTTGAAATTCAAATATTTGAATAGGCGGTTCGATTTGGCGCGGCGAGCTTTCGATTGCCGAGAATCGAGAACGGGAGTCCCGCGCATGCGCGCGTGTCGATTTCTGGTGACCAACCCGTAAGCTCGAGTGGTGGGGCCAGTCGGTGGATCGATCGACGTCCCGTCGAACCTCGCGGTGGTGAGCGCCGCTGCGCCTGTGGGGCGGGGCGAGAGGGCGCCTCAGTCGTGTACCGGAGCCCATCAGGGACGCGTCCAGCTCCTCGAACGCTTCGAGTTGCTCGTTCGCTCGGATCTCTCTCTTTTTCTCTCGATCAACGTTGCCAAAAAATCGGAAACTCGGTTTTAAACAAACCGAGAGAAGCTCGCGTAATTGTCCAGGGAGAGAGAGAGAGAGCAAACGTGATCGTTCAGTGTTAAACGAAGTAGAAGAATTATCCTTCCTCGCAGTATCCTGTTCGAACGCTGTCCGGGATAAGTAATTCGGGTCAGTTTCGCGTGAAACAGTGAGATCGGATCGAATCGACACGGTCCGTTCGGGATTTTTCGGAGCCGGTTCGCGTTACACTCGATCCCTGCCGGTTCATATCGATTCGAGAGGTGATACGCAGAGATACACGCACGTCCCTAGTGAGACAAGTGAGATATACGTGGAGTAGGTGCGTAAAAAGGGTTTCGAAAGTATCCACGGGGTAAAGGCGTCTATGTGCGCGCCCGGAGACACGGAGAGCTACCCTGGCACCTAGCGGACGACGCGGGGTGGCTTCACCAGTGAGTCTCAATTTTACGCCCTTCTTTTTCACCCCCGATTTAACCGAATTATCCTGCGTTTCGCGTTTACAAATTTTATTCGTAGTATCCGATACTGTAAATGTGATTCGCACGAGCAACAACTCGTATAATTTGTTGCGCACGCCGGATAATTCGATCTATCGTAAATATCAATTTTCGATATATTAATTATTTGTGGGTGTTACGAATTCGATTTTGACGTGTAACTCTCCATATTTATTTTAATTTTGCGTACTTTGACTGATTAAAATTGGAAGGCACAAGGTCCCACCCCTGCTAGTATTACTATGGATACCTCAAGTTGTCTTGTCTCTACGATACAAATGAGTTGCAATTAATTAGATATATCGATTATAAATAATTTCTTTATATATTTTATTACTGTGGTATTGTTGCAACTCATTTAGTATGTGCTACACATATTTTTATTTTTAAATATATTCTAACCCCATATTGTTTAATAACGTCTCAAATTTATTATTACAAAAAATATACGAATATAGTGCAGCACCCTAATGCAAATCCACCCTAGTACCTAATAATAATTTTATAAAGATAACCAAACTAATATAGGTATAAATTAACATCTATCATGACATGTCTTATTAGGTTAGGCTAGGGTGAGGTCCAGATTATGTTAGTCCATTCACGTTACGTTAGGGTTAGGTTAGATCCAGGTTAGATCAAGTTGTATAAAGTTAAATCGTATCGATAAATTGTTATATTAGCAACATTTAAATTTTCAATGTTATATAAACGTTGTCTCGTAAAACTGTCTCGGCGTTTATTAAGTGACAATGAACGTGACTCGATGTTTTACGAGCCAAAGGGTTAATCGTGACACAGTGATTTTTAAAATGTTCGAGATTGTGCGTAGGAGTGACAGCGGTGTCCTTTTCTGTTCTTTGTTTAATCGAAGCTGGGGTAGTGGTCGGTTCAACGATGAAATTTAATATCTCTGTGGTGTTTCTCGAACGTTTACTTCGTTTACCGATCAGACGTTACGTTCGAAAGAAAATTCGAATCTTTGTATTCCAAGAAATTGACTCAAATTTCATAAACCATATGGACCTGTATTCTCCATAGGACCCCACGATGTACGAGTAATTAATTGCTAATTAGAATAAATTATTGATGGTAACGTTTATTTTAACTGCTTAAAATTAATATGTTTATTAATTACGAACATTTTATAAATTAATTTAAATTAAAAAATTAACTGATAAATTTTGAAATAGATATGTAATATTTTGAAATACGTTTCGAAATGTGTCATAATACTATTATCATTGAGTGTGCCGACTCGCCCTAATGTCAAAATAGATTTTATTTTTGAGACCATGGAAACCTTCGAATATTTTTATCTTTTTTTGTTGTTCCGTACTGTACTGTTCGTCGACCCGAGCTCTAAACACCGTTGATAGATCGTGAGGTTTAATTGATATCGAATTGCGCTCACAGTGGTTCTCATTCTACAGACTTCCATCTTTGCTATAATTTCCAACCATTTTGTAACTTAATCATTTTCTAGAATAAGTATGAAAGGTTTACGTAGACATTTTTGTTAAACATCAAGCTTTAAATTAATGTACCATATGTGGCATTTTATGACTGTGTCATAATCATGTTTGACTTTGTTTTGAAATTGTACATTGTTTACTATTGGCGTCCATTTTGTTTTGGCGTTAAGCGATAACTTGTAGGACTACTTTCTTTGAGTCTTAACCTTTAAATTTACGTGACAATTGATACTTTGTGTTATTTTTATGTGAACTTGTTGAACAATTCATTATATGTTGAACATTATTTGTTATAATTCACCATTTATTATTTTACACCAAAAACAATAATGAGGCACTTAAGCAGCCATTTTCTTTGGTCTTCAAATTGATGTGTCATGAATAAAATTTTGCAATACTTCCATTAAATTATATATTACAAAAAATTGTTATTGCAACAAATTATAATAATTTAATTTAAAACAAATTATGTATAAAATTATAAAAATTATCAGCAGCATAATAGTAAATTTCACTAAATTATGATCTCAATAAATATTTAAAACAGAAACAAGCAACTTACCAGAAATTAACTCATTGTTTATTTACAGCCTCCATTTGGTTTTTGTCAAAAGGTAGTTTTTAAAGGCTGTTCAATTTTAAGGGATTCAAACGCTTTCTTTAGTTCGAAAATAGCAGATGTTTTGCGTTCATGTTAAAAATTCTGCCAACGCTAACAAGTGTTAAGAAATAGTCCGATTTTAACACTAGTAGCTCGTGACGCATTGATGGTACTTCGGCACTGCTTCGCGCAAGTTTTATTTTTCTTCTGGATATTTTCGAAGTCGTTCCATCTCTGAAATATCGCTTTTATAGAGCTGGGTTCGAGGATTAGGACAATATTTTTTTCTTTGGAACTAGGTCTGTGTTTCGTTCAATTTTATCTTCTTTCTTTAATTGGAATTTTGGGATTTGGGGGATTTAGGGAATTTGGGGATTTAATTTTGGAATTTGGGGAATTTAGGGATTTGATCTTGGGATTAGGTGAATTTAGGGATTTGGTGATTTTGGGGTTTGGGGAGTTTAGGGATTTAATCTTGGGATTTGGGGAATTTAGGGATTTGGTGATTTGGGATTTGGGGAATTTAGGGATTTGGTGATTTTGGGGTTTGGGGAGTTTAGGGATTTAATCTTGGGATTTGGGCAGTTTGGGGATTTGGTGATTTTGGGGTTTGGGGAATTTAGGGAGAACTAGGTCTGTGTTTCGTTCAATTTTATCTTCTTTCTTTAATTGGAATTTTGGGATTTGGGGGATTTAGGGAATTTGGGGATTTAATTTTGGAATTTGGGGAATTTAGGGATTTGATCTTGGGATTTGGGCAATTTAGGGATTTGGTGATTTTGGGGTTTGGGGAATTTAGGGTTTTAATCTTGGGATTTGGAGAATTTAGGGATTTGGTGATTTGAGATTTGGGGGATTTAGGGATTTGGTGATTTGGGAATTCTGGAAATTTAGGGATTTAATTTTGGAACTTGTGGAATTTAGGGATTTGATCTTGGGATTTGGGGAATTTGGGGATTTGGTGATTTGGGGTTTGGAGAATTTAGGGATTTGGTGATTTGGAATTTGGGGGATTTAGGGATTTGGTGATTTGGGAATTCTGGAAATTTAGGGATTTGCTTTTGGAATTTGGGGAATTTAAGGATTTGGTAATTTGGTATTTTAGGGATTTGGTGATTTAGGGATTCTGGGAATTTGGGGATTTGGAGATTTGAGGATTCTGAGAATTTAGGGATTTGCTTTTGGGATTTGGTGAATTTATGGATTTGCTTTTGAGATTTGGGGAATTTTGGGAATTTATGGATTTGCTTCTGAGATTTGGTGAATTTATGGATTTGCTTTTGAGGTTTGGGAAATTTAGGGATTTGGTAATATTGGGATTCTGGGGAATAGAGTAATTTTATGATTCTGGGAATTTAGGGATTTAGTAACTTTGGGATTTTGGGAATTTGAGCATTTAATTTTAAGATTCTGGGAATTTAGGAATCAACTTGTAAACTTAGAATTTTACAAATTAAGCAATTTATGAATTCAGAATTTACAAAATCTGTTTCAATAAAAAAGAGGTGGTAAAATTGTCGAAAGAGTGGTTTTCTCGTTATTTCCAGCAGGAGATTTTCGCCAATCGCAAAAAGGAAAGCTCTTCCGAACGGATCGTTAAGGCGTAACAAACAAATTACTCATCGCGATGTAAAGCTATCGAGTGTGTAAACGAACTCTCGTCTGATAAAAGTCGTTTGCAATTAGCGGCGTTACATTGTTTGCACGTATTGATGCGTCCTCCCTGTGCGAACATCCCGTCCTTTTCTCTTCATTTTATATTTCTAACATTTCTTTTCTTATATTTATACATACTTTATTCTTCAAATCTCTGTCTAACTTTCAGTCTAACTTTGAGTTTAATTTCAGTCGAAATTAATTCTGAAACATAACTTGACACGTTTGAGTCGTTGACATAAAGCGTCACAAAATGGCAGGTATACTTGTCAGGTATCCACTTAAAGCTAAAATCCTTCAATCATTTTCAAGTCAGTGAAAATATTTGTGCAAACGTAAATGCTTCTAACAGAAAATTATTTCCTGCAAATAAGTTGTAAATAATGATTTAAGAACAGTTCGATAAAAGTACCACAAAATGGCACTCGCGAAATTCAAGTCTTACCTAGAACATTTATTAAATAATCATTAAATTGCAATAATCCTTAAATTTCAAGCTGTAATACGAAAGAAATTTATCACATTTTTATGCGACAAAATCACGTTCGATCATTTGATATGCATCACCTTGTATCGTTCGCTACCGAGTAGCCATTTTGTGCAAAGTAAATCGACCTTCGTGTGCTCTTACATCGTGCAACCAGGTTTAATTTGATATGCAGTAAGTACTATTTTGCGATACTTTTATGTCATGAAATCGTGTCAGACTTTTTCGAAAGCCAGCTGATACGCAACAATCTAGAATTACCAACTGTTAAACTGTTAACCGCAAAGTAACGACACAGAGGTTTGTGGCGCGCTCTTAACCCCGTGTTGATATCACCGGTTCTTCGAAGCCTTCGAGCACGCACTCAATATCGAAAGGTTGGGTCGAGATAGGAGGTCTTCTTATCAGAGAAACATGTTCCCTGACCGGTCAAAAATAATCAACAGCTTTATTAATACTCTCTTTTCACTTCGGTTATTATACATTTCCATCTCATTGATCGTTAATTGAACACGTCGTTATCGATTACGAGCATCTGAGCAAATAATTCGTGGAAGATATAAAAATTGATAACCGATTGCAAGAGCCAGAATTTCGAAATGCGATGTAGTGCTATTTTATATACGCTATTTCTTTTTGGAACGTGAGATAAAAAGGGATACATCGTGTTCATAAAAATTAAGTCGTTTAGTTATGGGAATAAAAAGTTATGCACCTATGTGCATAGTCTGGCAATTAAAAATGGCCCAAGTCCGATCGCATTATCAAACTGCGCATACGTACTCTTAACGATTGCGCATGTTTTACGTTCAAGGTCATCAAACATACTTCTTTAAATTTCCATCGTCCTACACCCTCTCCTACATACAATTTTTATTAAATTAAGATATGATCCTAAAATAGATATTACCTCTGCAAAAATTTCTAGGTGCAAATATCTTTGTGTTCCTATATTCTAGATCACATTCCCATCTCAAGATTCAGATAACATGGATTCAAATTGTTGAATGATCTCCCTAGATCCAAATATCCTTGTGTCCCTACAGGGCGTCTCACAACTAGTGTAGGTCCATGGGGTAGCTGATTCTGAACAAGATTTCCCTTTGCGAAAATGTGATACGAAGCTTCGTTTTTGAATTATTAAGGAGAAACACCGGACCAATCAGAGCGCGAGGATTGCGCGCGCTCAGCCGCTGGGCGGACCGCGTCTTCGCGCTCTGATTGGTCCGGTGTTTTTCCTTAATAACTCGAAAACGGAGCTTTGGATCACATTTTCGTAAAGAGAAATCTTGTTCAGAATCAACTCCCCCTCATTTCTGGGACATTAGTTATGACACATCCTGTATACACCCTACACCTTATGCCCTATGCCCTAAGCTCTCCGCCCATCCTTTTTAATTTAAAATGAAGACTCTTCCTACGCAATTATCTGAAACGAACAAAACTTTGAAAGTGATTATACGGCAATTCCTACGCAAATATCTTAAATTAAAACTCTGAAAGAGGATGTACAGCAAAAGCCTATCGAAAATAGTGATGCGAATCCATTTCCACGATCCCGAGGCGTGCCTTCGGCTCTCCGAAGGCGCCTTCTAACCCTTAAAGCGTTATCGAACACAAGAATGCACTGTACGCGTTCTGTTACAGAGGTGGTGCTCACGAGAGGTTTGAACTCGTCCCAGGGTGGCGGTCTCCATCGGTAGGAAACGGGAAGGCAGGTGAACCGCGTCCAGGAGGGGATTGACGAGCCAGGACCAAGAACACGAAGACGAAGACGACGCCGTCGAGGAGGAAGAGCAGTCCGAGGGTGGCGGTGAAGGAGCTGAGGAGGTGGTGGAGGAGGAGGAGGGTGGCGACGACGACGACGAGGACGGAGAAAATCTCGGGACGACTGTTGCGACGTGGGTCGCGAGCGGTGGTCAGGAAGAGGGTAGAGTAACGGTTTCGGTTCCGAGGCAGGGGAGATTTCGAGGTTGGTGGTGGCGTTTGTGAAGGCAACCTGTAGCAAGATGGGCTGTGCCATGTCCGCGGAAGAGCGGGCCGCCTTGGCCCGCAGCAAGCAGATCGAGAAGAACCTGAAGGAGGATGGGATCCAGGCTGCCAAGGACATCAAGCTGTTGCTGCTTGGTGAGTGCGTTCACCTTCACCCTTTTGGCAATCTTCTTTCTTAAACTTTACGGTTTTAAGGAAGACTAGTAGACAATTTTGGGAAGTATTTGTTAAGGTGTTATGGGGAATTTGTTAAGGGATGTAGGGAAGACTTTTTTGGTGCATTGATAACTGAAACAACTTAGTCTAAATGAAAAGCTTGGTAGTTGATAACTAAGTATTGTTACTATATGGTTTGTTACTATGTGTACTGCTATTATGGACATAGTACTGCAGATAGGGGGACATAGTACTCTAGATAGAGGGACATAGTACTGCAGATAGAGGGTCATAGTACTCCAGATAGAGGGACACAGTACTATAAGTATGTAGAGCCACAGCGATGTGGGTGCATATGGATTTTGAGACATCAGAGATATCACCAAGAGACTACATCTAAGACAATAGAAGTCCAAAGATATTTTAGCCTAAGTATATCTCATCTAGATACTTCAAAACCAAGAATAGTCAGATTCAGAGATATTGAGAACCAGATATATTTTAATTTAGCAATATATATAGGTGTACAGATTATGGCTCTACATATGTGAGAATGTAGCTACATGTGTGAAAATGTACATGTCTGCCTAACATGTACATGTCTATGTAATTAATACTCAACCAATCAAGATGTAATGTACATTACAGATAGTGTGTTATTAAAATGAAACGATTAAGTAGATAAAAATATTTAGGGATCCAGAATGTGAATGAAATACTTGAACGCGAAAAAGTAGCTGTTATATAAGTAGGATGAGGCTTAATGGGTTAGATTGATCATAATATAAACAACGAATATAAAACCGTAAGGAGGCGAGTGTTTATTATGTAATACTGACCATATGTACCCATTCAAGGTTTGTAATTATGACCATGAAGAAAATTAGATTCTTTAACCCTTTGCACTCGAAGATAATTTTACTGTTTGCAAACAGCAACTTTAAAATATTAATTAAAATGTTAAATGACTTCTTTTGAAGTTATTATTTCTCTACTAATAATTTCCACTATTGTCTATTTCACTATGTTTATACATCACGTAAGCACTGTTATAGAATTAATTAAATAATGCTTGTTTTAAATTATTGTATTAAATCGAATGGCGCCTAAGAGGCGCCTCTCGAGCGCAAAGGGTTAATATGGAAAGAACTTTTCATGAATTATTTTTGTCGTCTTCTTTTGTTTCTTCCGGATTATTCATAACTGGGCCTGGATAATTCTAGTTAAATATTAAAATTGTAACAAAGGAGACGTTTTTCTGAGCAGTTTACTCAACGAGTAATTAAAATAATATAAAAAGAGCATTACAGATGGATAATTAATTGGCTCGTTGTTCCGTGTAACTCGTGTTCAACGTACTGTTTGCTTTTAATGACTCTCTTGAACCGATGTCGACGATCATGACTTCAAATTAACGAAGTCGATTTTAATTAGCGTGAAATTTTCAATTATCAACGCGATCGTGCGTCCGCAAATCGACGACTTTGCTCCTATTGTGATGTCATTACTTTCGCACGGTTCAGATGTCAATTTTGCTGTGACCTACAGTTGAGTCTCGTTATATTGCCGCCTGTAAGGAGACATTCGAAGTTTAAAGCGATAATTGTAGTTTAATGTTACTAATGTAACGTAGCTTTAATATTACTCTTACAGAACCTCATTTTAATATAAATCTAACTAATTCGATTTAATAATGTAGCCTTTTAACCTAACCTAACCTTAACGTATAATAGAACCTGACTTTGAGATGAGTCTAACTTAATTTAATTTAACATTTCAACAAAACTTAACGCCCACATTAATTTCATTTATAATAAAACTAATTTTAACATGAATCTAACTAATTCAATTTAATAATGTAGCCTTTTAACCTAACCTAACCTTAACGTATAACAGAACATGACTTCAACAGGAGTCTAACTTAATTTAATTTAACATTTCAACAAAACTTAACGCTCACATTAATTTCATTTATAATAAAACTAATTTTAACATGAATCTAACTAATTTAATTTAATAATGTAACCTTTTAACCTAACCTAACCTTAACGTATAATAGAACCTGACTTTGAGATGAGTCTAACTTAATTTAATTTAACATTTCAACAAAACTTAACGCCCACATTAATTTCATTTATAATAAAACTAATTTTAACATGAATCTAACTAATTTAATTTAATAATGTAATCTTTTAACCTAACCTAACCTTAACGTATAACAGAACGTGACTTTGACATGAGTCTAATTTAATTTAATTTAACCTTTCAACAGCACTTAACATTACATTATTTTTATTTATAACAGGACTAACCTTATCATGAATCTAACTATATTTATTTATTAATTTAATCTTTTAAGAAAACCTAACCTTAACATATAACAAAACCTAACTTCAACAGAAGTCTAACCTAATTTAATTTAGCCTTTCAACATAACCTTACCATTAATTTAATTTGTAACACAACCAAACTTTAACATGAATCTACCTTTTAACAACTTAACCTTTCAACGAAATCTAATCTTACCATTAACTTAATTTATAACACAACCTAACTTTAACACGAACCTAACCTTTAATAATTTAACCTATCAACGAAACATAACCTTACCATTAATTTAATTTGTAACATAACCAAACTTTATGAATCTAACTTTTAACAACTTAACCTTTCAACAAAACCTAACCTTACCATTAACTTAATTTATAACACAACCTAACTTTAACACGAACCTAACCTTCAATAATTTAACCTTCCAACGAAACATAACCTCAACACGTAACTCAATAATCTGATACATTGTTATCGAAATCTGATGACGCTTATTTGAAATAAGATTGAATTACATCCAAAGAGAACAAACACGAATAATCAAACTATACTCAGCTTAGGTTAGTTCGACTAAAATTAAGAATCAAAGCATTATCAATAACTATAAAAAATCCATAGCATCTCAAATATCCACTTTCATGAAATAATAAAGCGTCTAAAAAATGTCCACAATAATCAGATCAGTACAACGTAAACGAAACGCGATACGAAGTTATCGTATGACCCAATAAAGCATCGACTAAAGAAAAAAACGAAGCGGATAAATTATAATTTGGTCGCGTGATTATCGAGAAGACACGGGCGAAAAAGATGCGCGAAACGGAAAAAGCTGTGCTCTCGAGGCCGGAAGCATGGGACCGGAAATGACGTGGCGCACTGTGCCAGCGGAACTTGTTTTCCTGCTTATGGGTGGCGGGTCTCCCCCTCTTTTAAAAAGCTCTTTCATCCCGAACCGTGTGCCTACCACGTTCTACTTCTATCGATCTGTTGGAACGCTCCGATTCTACTTCGTCAAGTTGGCCGTTACACTCGACTTCCGTCGCGTTTTTTTTTATCGCGTGTCACTTATATGCCACATAGGTTAACTTTTGTCTAATAAATTCATGAGAATCGATTGTCTATCCTTCGTGCCCGTTTCTGTCGTAATCGTTGATGCTCTCGCGTGCTCGTTATAGGGTTAGACATTGCGGGAAAAATTATTCTTTACGCTGATACAGTTTTGTGGAATGTATCACAAAATGGCGGATGTGATACGTGAAACTTAAAGTTTGGATAAAAATGAATTAATATAATGTTTTTTAATATTTTCAATTGTAATTAACTGCAAATTATGACAAACAGTACAAACATCATTTTACATGTCTAACCATGTTGTTACATATCTAACCATACTATTAAATGTCTAACCATGTTGTTGCATATCTAACCACACTATTAAATGTCTAACCATGTTGTTACATATCTAACCATTTTATTACAAGTCTAACCATGTTGTTACATATCTAACCATTTTATTACATGTCTAACCATGTTGTTACATATCTAACCATACTATTAAATGTCTAACTATGTTGTTACATATGTAATCATACTATTAAATGTCTAACCATGTTGTTACATATCTAACCATACTGTTAAATGTCTAACTTATCTAACCATACTGTTAAATGTCTAACTATGTTGTTACATATCTAACCATACTGTTAAATGTCTAACTATGTTGTTACATATCTAACCATACTGTTAAATGTCTAACCATGTTGTTACATATCTAACCATACTATTAAATGTCTAACCATGTTGTTACATATCTAACCATTTAATTACAAGTCTAACCATGTTGTTACACATCTAACCATGTTGCTACATGTCTGACCCTGTTGTTACACATTTAATTGCAAATTAAAACAAGCAAACAGTAGTATCATATTGTTACGTGTTTAATTATGTTGTCACATACCTAATCATATAGTCACATACCTAATTGCAAATCATGTCATATAAAATCATATTACACATCAGATTTTGAAACTCATAAAGAGTCGATTCAATAACAGAAACAATTAATTATAAAAATTGTTGAGTACGGATTAATTCAATCAGTACCATAGGATCGTACAATGTTACATCGATAGATCGATTTAACAGCCATTCAAATTAGCGAATGATATACGGGTTAAAGTAAAGAACGACCGTTTGCGTTTCCTGCGGCATAAATGGGATGAAAATACTCGTAGAAGACGCAAGCAAAAGGGATGACGTCATTGGTAACACCAATAAACAGAGCCCAGATTTCCCTCGAATAATCTCGAGTTTGAATGCCGACCAGAAAACCAGAAATTCTTTGTCTCTGCTTCAATTGGACGCGAGATTTTCGGAAAAAACGACGCTTCGTGCCTTTCGACGTCCTTTTTAGTTTAATCGGGGAAATCTTGCAAAGCGAGAAATGAAGAAATGGTTTGCATCTTTTTTTCTTATTATTTCGATATCGTTATTGATACATTTATTATGATTTACTGTTATTATTGACGTATACGTGAATCATTGTGGTGTTGAGATAAGCAAATGTTTAATCTTGTCAAAAAGAAAAATTGATACAGGTTACTTTAAAAAAAATGCTCAGGTATACTTTCAATTTTTAGTTACAATTTTGTTACAATTTTTAGGTTGTACATTTTGATCAAATTAGGTTACGGTACTAAAATAGAAATTACCTTTGGAAAAATTACTAGGTCCAAATATCCTTGCGTTCCTATATTCTAGATGTTCACATTCCTGTTTCAAGATCCAAATAACATGGATTCCAATATCGATTAATCTCCCTAGATCCAAATATCCTTGTGTCCCTACAGGGTGTCCCACAACTAGTGTAGGTCCATGGAGCAGCTGATTCTGAATAAAATTTCCCTTTGCAAAAATGTGATACGAAGCTTTATTTTTGAATTATTAAGGAAAAACGCCGGACCAATCAGAGCGCGAGGATTGCGCGCGCTCGGCCGCTGGGCGGTCCGGCGTCTGCGCGCGCATCGCGCTCTGATTGGTCTGTGTTTTTCCTTAATAATTTAAAAACGGAGCTTCGGATCACATTTTCGCAAAGGGAAATCTTGTTCAGAATCAGCTACCCCATGGACCTACACTAGTTTTGAGGAACCCTATATATTTATAGATATTCACATTCCTATCTCAAGATTTAAATGTCCATCTCCCTAGATCCAAATATCCTTGGGTTCCTATATTCCTAGTTGTCCTTCCTATCTAAAATTAAAAGGCTCTCAGTTAAAATAAAACTGTATCTTCAGTCAAAATAAAATAATAACACTTCTAACTTAAATAATTAAACTAAATAAGTTATGTAAATTGTTATAAATGACAGTCTGCCAGATAGAATTATTTAACTGAATTATAGCAAGTCAATAGAATTATTTAATAACATTTTCCTAATTATTTGTGCTTCAGGTGCTGGTGAGTCTGGGAAAAGTACCATCGTTAAACAAATGAAGTGAGTCCACAAATACAGTATTGTTGCTAGACGTTTCACTGGTGCCCGATCACGTAATTTAACAGAAACGTTAAAGTGACATGATCATCGCTTGAATTAGATTGTTCGGTAATAATCATCGGCTAGAATAAAGAGACACGCCATTGTCTCTTGACATCCTAAGGGTTGTTCACCTCGAAAAATCGATAGTTTCCATGTTGAAAGACCGGTTGCCAGTGAAACATGTTTGAAATCTTGTTTTCTCGTCAATGGACCCATTCATGGTGTGCCGTGAACAAAGCGTCGCGTGTTCGGTCGCAGACATCATTCTTGGACCATTCATTTACCATTAACAAACAAACAGGAAATTTTTTAATAAATTGTACGTGTACAAATTTCACGACGGGTTCGATATTTCAAGACGGGACAGGGATTTATGAAATTGTCGGTTTTAACCCCTTGCACTATGATTTGTCAGGTGCGGCTGTCAGAATCCGTACGTACATAGCTACATCATTCAAATTGACATGTATACAATTTTATTGTATCATTACTGTTCTATTTCACTATGTCATCATTTACCTATTTGACCCCTTAATAAATTTTAGTGCAAGGGGTTGAAGAAATCATATCCAGGTTTGCGAGTGTAACTGATGAGTGTTTCATTTATTTTTACAGAATTATCCATGAAAGTGGATTTACACCCGAAGACTTCAAGCAGTACAAGCCCGTAGTATATAGCAACACGATACAATCTCTAGTCGCTATTCTAAGAGCGATGCCCACTTTGGGCATCAGCTTTTCGACCAATGAACGAGAGGTAAGTTCAACCAGTAAAATAAGAGATGTGACGGAAAGAAGGGCATTAGTTTGCCAATTAGATGGGCTAATTTGAATGTTGAGAAATTAGAAGGTGGGAAATTAGGAAGTTGGGGCATTAGAAGGTGGGTAATTAGGAAGTTGGGGGATTGGAAGGTGGGAAACTAGGAAGTTGGGGCATTAGGAGGTGGGTAATTAGGAAGTTGGGGCATTGGAAGCTGGGAAACTAGAAAGTTGGGGCATTAGAAGGTGGGTAATTAGGAAGGTGGAGAATTAGAAGGAGGAAAATTAGGAAGTTGGGGCATTGGAAGGTGGGAAACTAGGAAGGTGGGAAACTAGGAAGTTGGGGCATTAGAAGATGGGAAACTAGAAAGTTGGGGCATTGGAAGGTGGGAAACTAGGAAGTTGGGGCATTAGAAGGTGGGTAATTAGGAAAGTGGAGAATTAGAAGGTGGAAAATTAGGAAGTTGGGGCATTGGAAGGTGGGAAACTAGGAAGTTGGGGAATTGGAAGGTGGGAAACTAGGAAGTTGGGGAATTAGAAGGTGGGAAACTAGGAAGTTGGGGCATTGGAAGGTGGGAAACTAGGAAGTTGGGGCATTGGAAGGTTGGTAATTAGA